TTTTCCTAGGTCCCCTTTGGCCCCAAAGTCTTCCAAATTCCATCTTTCCTCTATGTTAGATAAATGGAGCAGAATCATAAGAATATGTTCAGAATTAGGTGAGCAGGATTTGGATGGGAAGACACAAATTCTGTGAATGACATTTATGTGTGAATGGGATGCTTGTGCTCGCACCTGTATGGACAGGTGTGTGCAGATGGAATGTATACGTAGCCCACCTGCTGCTGACCTGCATCCACCTAGAAGGCTACCCATTACAAAATGCATTTCTCTCTATGGTTGTGTTGCATAGTGTGGCAGGTAACACTATTATAGGATCACAGATAATCCAGAAATAAATGATGATACAATTGTGAAATATTTTCCTCAGAAATTTGAGATAGTGCAGGAGGAAATGTGTCAATTTTCAAGGCCACAGAGGCTCTTTAACTTTGGAAACACAGGCATTAGAAATGGGTAGATGGTAGCAAATAAGCAAGAGTAAAATGCTCCAGTTAAAACAGTCCTTAGCAGAAAGACCAAGGAGGGGAAAGACCCTGTGAGGCGAGGGTGACAGTCAGGACCTGGCTACTAGACTGCTACTCATGGTCTATAACTTGTCTTAGAAAATTATACATCCCTTTCAGAAGTCTTAGCTGGTAGGCTTCTCCTCACACTCTCCCCAAAAAGGACCTACATAACAGAGACAAACACAAGACCCAGACTGTGCAGCAAACTCAGATACCAACTCTGTCCCTGTATTTACTCAGGTGATGCAGCAGACAATATGTCAGAACCCCACTCATCAGCCTACCCTTCCACTTAAATCACCGCTTCCCAAGAACATCCTTCCCATAAAGTACACACATTCAAAAAAGAATTGGCACAAATGTGGTAGTAGAAATGGCACCATTCAGAAATGAGTGACAAAACATTTCAGTCTGATAAACCATTCTGTTGACATCTGAACGTTCTCTATACCATATTCAGCAGATAAGACACTTATTAAAAGGACTGTAAATGTGGCCACATGTAATTCACTAACAAGACATAGGAGGTTGTTTGAACAAGAAGTCATCTTTAAGAATCTGAATTCAATATCTATCCAGTTATAGTATTGAAACAGCACTCCATTTCTAAAACTCACAAATTTCAAATTATTGTTAGCATTTATATTCCATGGATACCTTTGGAACAGCAGCAGGAGATATAGAGGCTCTAGGCATGTGTGAATACTATATGCTTTGATTCAATCCTTGTTATTTGTCCTACAAATCACAACTGATTTTAAGCAGTAAGTTGTCTCAGGAATGAGGTTTTTAAGTTATACATTTGTAAATGTTTCTAAATTCTTTTTAATTTTGATTTTTAAAGATCTTAATATATGTTTGTTTTTTAAATATGACATTTATGTAGTGTTTTTAAATATGTTTTTTTGAAAGTTGCCTCAAGTCCCTTATGGGGAGAGAGGCATATAGATAAACTGAGTGATCTGAATTATTTTAAAGCATTTGTACGTAGTTGTATCTTGTCCAAACAGTAAAAAAAACATGAAAAGGGAAAAAACAAAGAACTCTCGCTTGAGGTGGGAGGTGAAACTTCAGCTGTGACTACATATAATGCAGGATTTGCTCTGCTAATAAAATGACATATTTGAAGTATTTTTACTGACCACATGGCACAATGGCAGATTTGAATCAGTCCAGCCTTTTTAACTACGGCAGATGTATTCAGATTCATAAATGAATATGAATATTACCGCACAGGTGGTGATAACGAGGATCCAGCCCTATGGGGCCAGACGGTCCACTCACCAATCTGGCACTGCCACAGATGCCATGATTCTTCCAATGGCTTTGCAGATCACGATCAGCTAGCCACTCCTGGCAGGAGGTGGGAGGACAAGGCCTTGCTGCAAGGTTGAAGAGTGGCTCGCATAGCACGATCTGCAGAGCCATTGGAAGATCATGGCGTCCATGGCAGCAGCAGATCGGTGAGTGGACCATTTGGCCCCATGGGGCTGGACCCTTATCGCCACCTGTGCAGGGATATTCATATTTGTATACGAATACCTGCATCTCTACTTTTAACTATCAAAGTGGGTTTTTTTCCCTCTGCACTGGGGGGCTCCTAATTTTTTAATCTAGAATGATTCAAACAGGCTTTTCCCAGCGTGGTTAGTTGTGATAGGTTCTTGTAACAATTGGGGGTGGTGGTGGTGGTAGTCTTTATAGATCGTGTTTTTGTGATGATGTATGATGTTAAGAACTGGGGGAACATGCTTTCTTCTCCCTTGATCATTTTTTTTTATTTTTTTATTTTTAAAATTTCTTCCATACATCATTGTTATTATCATTGTTGTTATTCCTCATATATAACTTTCCCATATATATATCTCTGTCAGTCCCACATTAGATTAGCAGATGCAGGACCTGAGGGAAGAAGAAAACCTGCACCACATCCAGTATGAATGGTGAATTCCTGGATCAATCTGCAGCCCCTGCATGAGCACTGACTACAATTTCAAAAGTAATACAGGCTGTGAATCAAATTGTAGCAAAGCCAAATCACTCTAAATCAGGTTTCCACCTACTACTGATCTACTTCCAGCATGGAAGCAAAGCTGTACCCATTTGCCTTCCTTCCCCAACACTAGGAGCCATGCCACTTACTCCTTGCCCATTTCTTACCCTTCCAGTGAATCCATCCTGCTTTAGCTGAGCATTGTTGCTCAGCTGTCAGTCACATCTAGATCCTCTGCAATGAAATCTGCTACCCCGGATTTGAGACCTCTGAAGCAGCAAAGCAAAATTCCAGGCTTTGATTCAAGCACTGCTCTGGTACACTTTCCTTTCCTTTGGATTGGTTCAGAAATAGACAAATATCCTTGCTTCCTGTTGTTTTCAATATAAATTCCAAATCCAACCCCCCAACCTAGTATTTGCATTCATTAAAATTTGAGGGTATTGTACTGCTTGTTGTTCAGTACCAGATAAAAACAGAGAAAGACAGAGCTCTGAGGATTTGATAGACTCTAGTTCATCTTGAAAGCTGCTGAAAATATATATGTAGAGTGATAATACTGTATACTGGGGTTGGCACACTGAACTCACAGTTCAATGTGAGTGAGCTATTCTCATAGGGTATGATTAACATTTCATCTGCATATGTTCAACTGAAAGAATTACAGGCATGGAACACAGTCCATGAGGAACATCTCTTTAGCAAATCCACTGAAATTAGGCCTGTTATCCAACTAAAGAGATTTTAATCAATTATATTAGTTTGTGTAGGCAAATTAATAGATGAAATCTGCATAAATATCTACTTGGTTTTTGAAAAAGAAAGCATTCTTGTTTGAAATTAGGTGAAATATGATTATGTCATAGTGTGAGACACAAGGAAGAATCTTTTTTCTAAGATGGTATCATGGTTTTTATAAGTATCTGGACCAAAATAATTAAGTTCCCCTCCTGAAGTGTAATTATTTGGGGGCACCTTTAAAAATTAATCAGAAAGAACGGTTTTCAGTACATCTAAAGATTGGGGTCTATTTAAAATGAAGGGTTTGGATAAACCTGTGTTTTTACAGAACTCCATTAATTTTTAAGACTTTATACTGCAGATGCTTCATGTGAGAGAAAGGAAGGCAGTCTAATGAACAGTCATTGCCATTTTGATCACTGGCACATTCTTTGTCAGCGCACACTCTGGTTGAAATCCTGGCCCTTACTGTAGTATATTGCAACTAGAGTTGGACTATTGAATCAATGGAGATCTGGTGAGTCAATGGGTTTACTCCAGTTGTGAATTGCTATGCTAAGCAACAAGACTTTCTAGAGTAGCTAGAGCAACATTGTGGGCTTAGCAGATGCAGCACCCCATTCTGCACACCACTCACAATACTATCAGAAAAGTTAGTAATATATACATGATTTGCCCAGAATTGGCCTGTGTTTTACATGTCTGGTTTTATGGTAGGTAAAAATGGACAATTTTTAAAACTTATATGTGTGTTTTGTATTGCATTGTCTTGGTTAGTCAACACAATATGTATAATGTCTCACACGTCATTAGACTGCTTTCTGATATCAACACAGACAGTGGTGTTATAGATGGGACTTGAAGAACAGGAAAGAGGGATTTCCAGTTTCTTTAATTATATACTTGGTTCCAAGCTGCACATGATACATGTTTATGTGCAAATGTTACCCCTGCAAAAAACAAAACACCACTGTTATTTTTAAAAAAGTGATTTTGAGAAGAGTGACTTCAAATTGAAAAGACAGTGGTGCCTAATCCTCCCCATACAAGCCTCCAGTCTTAAATTCCCCAGCTGCCAATGGGTTCTTGGGCATGCAGATATGTATTTAGAAACACATTGGGTGGAAAGTGCTTGGGGAAATGAGAATTGCAGTAGAAAACCAGTAGGTGAGAAAAGGATGAGAACTCTCCACTCCCCCATACCTTCAGTGAAAATCAGTCCCTCCTAATAGCAATCTTCAGTAGAGAAGTTGGCTGCTGGGGTTTTCTTACATACTGTACGATTGCCTGTAACTTGTAACTTGTAACTTAGAGAATCTGCCATAAAAGTGAGAGTTCTGCACTCCTCCCCACTCAGCACAACACCACTTATCTAGCAGAATGCTAACAGACTAACATGAACTATATTAATCTATTTTGACTTGTGTAGCCCAAAGGCCAACATGATTTACTTACTAACTGTAGTGGCTAAATCAATAGCTGCTGACATTCAGGACAGTAACAATTTCCTCCTCATAGTCTTGTTGGCTCTATGATGAATAAATGTGATGTGACAACTCCATTCTGATTATTGTTTATATACATTTAGTTTCAAAAAATGACTAACATTCTACCAACCACCATGAATGTAACAGACTCCGGAAGAATAGGAAAGTAAGCAGAGCAATCCTCAAGGACCATAGAAAGCTAATGCAGTTCCTTTAACACCTGAAAACATTTACTAATAAAGATGACAGATGTAAAACAAGTTGCCTTACTTGTAATTCCTCTCCCAGAATTTGACCGGTCTGGCATATGAAGTGAGAAAAATCACACTCCCTAGAAATGGACTCAGCGGAGTAGAAAAGATTGCAGTGGCCAGAGTTTGAAAGAAAAGCATTGCAGAGTCTGAAAATTTCAAGTTAAGGTAAGGGAAATGAACTTCACTGTATTTGATGTTGTCTTGCTGACACCTTCTGACCTATTTATTTTTCTAACTTTTATCTCCAAAGAGGCAGTTGAAACAAAGTGGCAGGTAATAGCTAAGAACTGCTATTATTCACTTTAAAAAAATGCACATGGCTGGAGCATGGAAATTTCCTTTACAAAGTAGAATTTCATCTACATCATTTAGAGAAGCCATGCCCTTTGTAATTTTAAAAGTGATTGGGTCAATTACAGTTATATTGCAAAAGCGATGATGCTATCCCCTGTTAAGTTAGAACTGTAATAAAACTTACTATTTCATTATTGGGAAAAAACTGATTCAACATAACTAGTTACTTTTAAGCTCTGCACCAAGTATAGGCCTAATTCTCTCTGGCTAGGTTGTATTCAGATTGCAGACCATGTGTTTAAATGCTCTTTGGTGCAATATTTTCCTCCACCAATATTAACTAGATGTCAGGAAGGACACACAAGCAGTCTTTCCTGGCATGCTTATTTGCTGTACATGAGAAAGGTTTGCATAGCAACAGGCATGCAAAGCCTTCCATATCTGAAATCTGAACACAGTCTAGGTGCAAGTTCATTATTTCAGTGAGAACTAGGACAAAGCAAGGAAGACTTCAGGATGGGTGAGAAAGGATGCAACCAAGTATACCCAATTGATCTTTGCATGTTATGAGTTGCCCGGTGTCATATATAGTATAGAAATCTGCCTGCTACCCAAAACTATATATCCACAGAAGAGCTAGTTCAAAGTTCATTTTATAAATCTACAGTGATTTTTCTTAAAGGTATTTATGAACATGATCTCATATTCTCGAAAACAAGAATGAAGGCACCACACTTTGAACCATGCAACATAGTAAGAAACATACAGAAATTCTATTCTGGTTTTTTTTTGTCTCCCCTCCCTTTTGTATAGTTAACATCAAACACATGATGTAGATGTTGTACAAAAATGTGGAGCTGATGGATATTAAAGGATAGCAGAAGAGGGCTATCAATTATATATTCACATCATCCAAACCAATGGAATATTATGTACATGGTGTCTGAAAGTTATTCAGACTTCCAATATCTTACTGTTTGTGATGCAAGTTGGAAGCCACAGTTAAGCACATTTAAATCTCGCTGAATTCACTAATAAATATTTAATAATTTCCTTAACTCTCTAACTGGAATCCTCTCTAACTGGAATCAATGGTCGTTAAAATTGCTTAAAGCTAGTCCCAAATTGGACTCCTTCCCATGTAAACCAATCACCTGAAGCCAGTTCTTCATCACCTATTATAGAAGAATTAACCTGCACGTTTAATGAACATTTCTTACAGATACAACTGTTATAGCTTACATATATTAAGAAAAGGCTCTAAAATGGTGTCTGCGCACATTAGCGTGTATTTGAGACGAGTTGCCCACAGAGTCTCAAAGTTCCAAAACCAATGAAGAGGATATAAAAGGATGGACAGAAGTTTCAACAAGGTTCATTTGTTAGAACACAATGACTTCATGATTCAAACTGGCTTGGAAGTAGAGAAATCCACAACAAGTGTAAACTCACCCCCTCCCCCGGGTCCAAAAAGGCAGAGAAGCAAAAGGAGGATGTCTGAGGAAGCCTCCTAAAGACAGGAGCTCTATTCCATTGTTATAACATTACCACAGTGAGATGGCAGTGCTCCAGCCTTTTCTTTTTGTTCCCAGTTTTACTACTCGTCCACACACAGAGAATGACAAGTCTGAGGAGAGCTTGTGCTGGGAACATGCATTATGACTGACGTGGAAAATCCCCACAGATAGCATTTTGGATTTTTTTTGGCCTACAAATCCCATAATTCTCTTCTCTGAGAGTTCCACCTCCAAGGCATAGCCATTACAGATACATGAACTGTGCTAACCTGAAGAGAAGGCCCAGCTGGCAGGCTTCACGCCTGTTTGAAAAGGAAGCTTATCAGCAATCCCTGTGACAGCTTCCTTTTGAAACAAGAAGTTAGTTACTATACATTATCAAAGAACATCAGGTTTTTCTTTCACTCCCTAAATACAGAGCAGAATAGCAAAGACACGTTCTTAAAGGATATGAGGTATTGCAAAGAGCTGAGCAAACACGTGGAATGACGATCCCCAAGCAATTTGCCAAGGAGCAATGTAAGTCATTATAAATTGTAATTTCTGCAGCAGGTCTGACAGCTGAAAGCAAAAGGAAACAAACACACACATATTATAACAGCTTATGGAAAAACCATTAAAAAAGAGAGAACATTTTACATATAATTGTACAACATCTCAGATTTGTGGCATTCAATATAGAAACATCTCTTATTCTTTTAATAAAAGTAATCTTTCTAGCCTAAATGTTGTCTCAAAACAAAGACATGTAGAACGGCAAAATGTGTAGGAGCTGTTGGCTTATCACATTCCTTGTCTCCCTGCCATCAGCAACAGGGTTGCATTAGATATTTAAAGAAAGGGACTCTAGCCTAAAAGCATACTTCTAGCTGTATTTTCTTTCTGCCTCTTTGTAACTTGCGGTACAACTTAACCTTATGAGTTGACATTGAAGTGCTGTGATTTACAGTGACAGGGCCCATCACAAATTGTATGAAGTGCTACCAACAAACTAGGAGGAAGCCCTATTGACTCTACATCAATTCACACCATCACATTTAAAGCATACTTTCTATAAATGGTAGCTTCTGTTTTCTCAGCTCAGATTCACTGATGGTGCCATTTGACCATACACCTTGAACCCAGTATAGCACACTACTTTGAATAGTCTTTTAGAACTTTCCTTGGTGTCAAAATAAATCTGGAATTTTATTTATTATTTTATTGCAGTTTTATGCCACTTTCTCCTGGCAAAGGGGCTCAAGGCAGCTTACAAACCATTAAAACAAACAAAACTTAAAATAAGATATATGAAACATTAACAAGTAACTAAACATGGAAATATGAAGATGATCCTCTAAAAGTAGGTTATAAAGGATAAAAGCAGCAAGAATAAGGTACACACACTTATGATGGCTTTGTCTTGCCAAAACCTATCAAAACTGACGGAAGGCATCACAGCTGAAATAATTCCACAAATGGTATACAATGATTATTAGATCTTTTTATAACTCAAAAAGTTTTGCCTTCTTCCAAATATCTTCACAAAACAGTACAAATGTTACCAGCTCTTTAAGCAAACTGTGCAACTCTACAAATCGTGTGAACCATGAAAATTAAGGAACATTATGGGAATCTGCTCACTTTATAAAACATCCGTCACAACATTTGTGTTTTGTAATCACAGAGCCCACGGTGTATTAATGCATTGAAGATTCCCAGTATTATATATCACTCTCTCATAATAACATAACTATCAGGGAGCTACTTGAAAAACACCATTTCTCAGCATTGAATTGGAGTTGTAATGCTTTTCTTTTATGTTCATCCAATTAGAGTGAATATTTGCCCATTCACAGTCTGCTATAGTGTTTATTGCCTTAATGTGAATTGCTTGTGAATGTTTTTAGCAATCCTTCTGCATTTGGGGAGCTGGGGAAATGACAGTATGCTGTAGGCAACAATTTCCTCATTTCCTCAATGCTGCCTCTTTTCTACACACTTCTCTCTCACACACACACACACAAGTAATTTATTATTTGTACAGCTTGGTCTTTTTTCATTTCTGTACTTTTCATTCTTCTGTATGTGAATGTACACAAATGAGTGTCTGTGCCTAGTTGTTCCCAATAATGTCCTTCAAATCCACAGAAGACTCTCAGGATCTATGGAGGCTTCATGAAGGGAGAGGGCAAGGAAAAAAAAAATTCACTGATTTTGCTTTTCCTTTACACCCTGATCAATTTGTTGCAGAGGGCTGTGAAGCCTGACAGAACAGTATGGAAGTGGTGCAATGGACAGCAGAGAAAAAGTACAAACATTTCCTTCCTCCTCCATTCATGCCTGGAAGCCTCCAGCAGGGCAGTGGGAGAGTGTTTTTTTGTGAATGGAAGGGCAGCACTGGACACAACCCATTTTATCACAACACAAGGAGAGACAGCAGCTGGATATGTACAGAGCACACTAAGCTGACCAAATCATTTCATAATGCTTTCAATAAGAAATTCCGAAAGGTTTTGACCTTAACTCATAATCTGAGTCAAGAACACACTTGTCAAAGGAGAAAGGTTAAACCAAGCATATAAAACAGACTGAGGTAGCAACTACCTTTTCAACAAACAAAGAAGATTTATTAAAAACAAGACAAAAGAAAACCACTATATAATTTCTGTCAACCTTGTACATGGTCATATTGTTATATAATAAGATCATCAACATCCATCAAGAACTTAACTATCAGATTCCTCATTGCAAAAATGATACACTAATATTTCCACATCTCCTTATGATAATTGTATAGATAACATGTTTAAACTGTAGAAAATAAAAATATATTACAGATCACATGTGTACCTTAAAAAGTTCAGAAAACACTGTGCCCAGAAATTTTGATTGTGGTAGAAATAACTTCTGTTCAGGCTTCTGAAATGTCATTTCCAATAAATGCACATTCAACAGCCATTGCTTAACTGATAAGCTGCATTTTCACAATTTGTGAAATGCAGGTTACAGCATTCATTACATGTTGTTATCTATTTTAATAATTTGGTCCCATTAGCTTATGTCAACTTAGTACAATCTGAGGAGAAAATGATCTTCTGAATTTACTAAGTATGTTTTGAGATGAGCCTTTTACCAAGCAATGAAACCGCCTAAAACATGGCATTTTTTACAGGAAGGCATATGGTGCCTACCATTTGTCCTCCTGTGTTTCCTCACTACTACATCTGTCAGTTTTTACTCAAGAAAAATATGTGTTCAGGGAAAAAAAATCTGTAATAGTTGTGCAATCCCTTCTGATTCGTAGCAATAGAAGCTCTCCGTATGGAGAAACGCTATGTGGTTTATGAGGGAAAGTAAACATTACTAATTGTGGCTCAAATCCTCTTGCCTAATAATGCTGGTGTGGCACAATAGGGAAACTTTTGGAATCAAATTGCCTCAAGTTAAGAAATCACTATGGACATTATCTGTTGCATACTGAGTTGTGAGATTCAATGTAAAACTGATAATATCTATTGTGATTTCTTAAATTGGGGCAATCTGCCTCTAGAGACTACTCGATTTGTGTAGCTGTGCAAAATGATTTTGGCTTTTGAGTGGTACATTTAAAGCTTATGTGTCTACTTATATCAGAAACTGCTACAGCTCCTTAGGAAATGATATAGTCCACAGCACAGAATTCAGAATCCCACCCAGAAAGGGAATTTACAGAAAAGAAGCTGCAGAAGAAAGCAAGTACTTAACATTTCTCATGTCTATCCCTTCTTCACTTTTTTTGATGTATGGATTCCTTAAATGTCTGAATGTTCTCTAGTAAGATGATAACAAATCAAGTTGCAAGCACAGGTGATCACTTCAATTCATACTGTTGCCTTAACACAAGTAGACTTTATATTGGTTCTTGATAGACATCAAGAGCAGGCATGTACAGTGGACCCTTGACTTACAGACGGCTTGACTTACAGACTTTTTGAGTTACAGACTTCTCTGGCCGCAAAATTTAGGTTTGACTTGCAGACTGAGATTTGACTTACAGACCAGAAAAAAACCAAAATGGAACAAAAATGGCCTGTTACGGGATTAATCGGTTTTCAATGCACTGTAGGTCAATGGAGACTTGACTTACAGACTTTTTGACTTGAGAACCGTCTTCCAATACGGATTAAGTTCTCAAGTCAAGACCCCACTGTATGTTTCACAGATGTGGACAAAAACTTGACATAACTTGTAACAAGAATTGCACCTAAATACAAATATCTGATTGCTCTGCAGAAGATATATCTTCTTCCTATAATTCGAGCAGTCTCAACATTTTTATTTATAATCCAGGATCCCACCTAAAATGTATCAAGTCTGTATATAAACTCTGTCCATGTTATAATATAAAACGTACTCAATTGGTGGATCTTTGAAAGTCTCTAATATCCCTGAGACAGAAGAGCAACTATCCTTGTTGTCAAATTCCTTTTTCCACCTGAGATGATAAGCAACCCGCGCCAAATTACCACTAGAAATTCTTCAAGATTATTTTGAATTCTAATAATGCCAACTGGGTGGTGTTGGAGCAAGAGCAATGATCTGAGGTAATGTGAGTTATCTTAGAAAAATGATTAAAGAACCTTGCCTGCTTTGTCTAAAATCAGACTGGTATGCCATGTCTCAACAAAGGTTTATAGTGAAACACCTTCTAATGGACTTAGCTCACAATGACTTCTATATGCAATTCAGTTTCTCTTTTTTTTGTACTGTTCTCCAGTTCACATTCTACCCAATTGGGTTCCAATAATGTGGTAACTGGTCTAATAAACTATCACCCACTCTTGTCTGGTGAGCACAGTTTCACAAGTGGCAAAGGAAAGCATGGTCCAGTTCATTAACAATATTATTTTTAAAAGTTGGTCTGTACTTGTGAATTTCTACAACATCATTTTAACAGAGAAGTCAGTGTCACCTTTCACAGATATTTTACATCAAGAGTACTTCTTTCTGGTGTTATGTTAGGATATAATTATACGCCACTTGTTATCAGATGTAGGGATAGTTGTTTCAGTTTCTTAAAAAATGAAAACTAATTAGAGCAATTATATTTTAAAGCTATGTCATTCCATTTGACAACACTGCAACATTATTTCTTTGTTTTAAAGAGAAAAAAAATCTAGGCAAGACAACATTTACACTTCAAATGACAATGGCCTGTCATGGAACTTGCCTTATTAAACACGATGGACATCAGGAAGAAATTGAATAAAAAATTCTGAGAGAAACCTTTGCAGTCAAACTTGAAAAAGATCACGGTAAAGCTTAATGTAACAAATTGGTGAGTGGGATTGCAAAACGAAGATCGCAGTAGCTTCATTCCTGCAACTGTAATCAGAAAGATGTCACAACTGCAAGAAGAAAAAGGAAAGAAAACTAATCAGACTAGAACAGATCATAAGGAACAAAACCATAAGATCTACTTTTGCTTGGTTTAAATAATCTCCAAATAACATTTAGCATTTATTTCTTTTAGAAGTACCACTTTCAAGATTTTCTTGAATCCAGCCACTACAACACAAACTCCTAAAAATTATGCAGTGGACTCCAATGTTATAATGCAAACTGCATCATGCTGTGGACCACATCGTATAGGAAACCCAGATTTATATCCCTGTTCTTCCATGAATCCCATGGCTTGGCTTCAAGCAAGTCAGTGCTTCTCGTTCTAACCACACTACTCTGTTGTAGTGATGTAAATGAAATTAGGCAGCATAACATAGGCCAGACTCCTTAGAAACATTAAAATAAATAACAGTTATAAAGCAGATTATTATTTCTGCTGCTAAATTGCTTGGAAGAGAGTGTCCTGCTTCTGAAACAAGTCTCTACAAAAGATTTATGGGACATATCCAGAGGAGGTGATCAGGATGATAAAAGGCTTGGAAACTAAGGCCTATGAGGAATGACTGAAGGAACTTAGTCTGGAGAAGAGAAGACAGAGAGATGGTATGATTGTTGTTGTTTAGTCATTTAGTCCTGCCCAACTCTTTGTGACATACCATGGACCAGAGCACGCCAGGCCCTCCTGTCTTCCACTGCCTCCCGGAGTTGGGTCAAATTCATGTTGCGAGCTTCGATGACACTGTCCAACCATCTCTTCCTCTGTCGTCCCCTTCTCCTCTTGCCTTCACACTTTCCCAACATCAGGGTCTTTTCCAGAGAGTCTTCTCTTCTCATGAGATGGCCAAAGTATTGGAGCCTCAGCTTCAGCATCTGTCCTTCCAGTGAGCACTCAGGGTTGATTTCCTTCAAAATGGATAGGCTTGTTCTCCTTGCAGTCCAGGGGACTCTCAAGAGTCTCCTCCAGCACCACAATTCAAAAGCATCAATTCTTTGGCGGTCAGCTTTCTTTATGGTCCAGCTCTCACTTCCATACATCACTACAGGAAAAACCATAGCTTTGACTATGCGGACCTTTGTCGGCAAGTTGATGTCTCTGCTTTTTAAGATTTTGTCGCGGTTTGTCATGGCTTTCCTCCCAAGAAGCAGGCATGTTTTAATTTCGTGGCTGCTGTCACCATCTGCCGTGATCATGGAGCCCAAGAAAGTAAAATCTCTCACTGCCTCCATATCTTCCCCTTCTATTTGCCAGGAAGTGATGGGGCTGTGGCCATGATCTTAGTTTTTTTTGATGTTGAGCTTCAGACCGTTTTTTGCACTCTCTTCTTTCACCCTCATTACAAGGTTCTTTAATTCCTCCTCACTTTCTGCCATCAGAGTGTTATCATCTGCATATCACAGGTTGTTGATATTTCTTCCGGCCATCTTAATTCCGGCTTGGGATTTCTCCAGTCCATCATTTCGCCTGATGTATTCTGCATATAAGTTAAATAAGCCAGGGGACAATATACAACCTTGTTGTACTCCTTTCCCAATTTTGAACCAATCAGTTGTTCCATATCCAGTTCTAACTGCTGCTTCCTGTCCCACGTTTAGATTCCTCAGGAGACAGATAAGGTGGTCAGGCACTCCCATTTCTTTAAGGACTTGCCATAGTTTTCTGTGGTCCACACAGTCAAAGGCTTTTGCATAGTCAATGAAGCAGAAGTAGAAGTTTTTCTGGAACTCTCTGGTATGATAGCCTTCATCAAATATTTGAAAGGCTGCCATTTGGAAGATAGAGTTAACTTGTTTTCTGCAGCTGCAGAGGATAGGACCCAAAGTAATGGATTTAAATGACAGGAAAGGAGATTTCAAGTTAGTGTAAGAGACCTTGGAACCATGAGAGCGGTTCAACAATAGAACAGACTACCTTGGAGATGTTTAAAGAGAGGTTGCTTGGTGAGCTGTCAAGAACGCTTTAGGTGGGGATTTCCTGTTTTATCAGGGCGCTGGAATCAATGACTCTTGAATATCCTTCTACATTTAAATGTTGGTGTCAACCAGGTTCTGTACAATTGATTCAGTGGAATCCCAAATCAAATGAGTCTAGTTTACTCTGATTCAGATCAAATTGCTTCAGACAACTGAGGTACTAAAAGAAAAGCAGACTGTGTCTCCAAAAAGATAGCAAAGCACAGGCATATAAGGAAAATGTCATGGTGGTGTGATGGTAGGAAGGAAGAAGGGAGCTGGACTTCACTTTCTGTGATCATGTCTTTGTGGCCATTTGATCACACCCTGAGTTTTAATGAACAAGCACTACACATAAATCACCATTATAATGCAGAAACATTGCACACATATTAGCAAGCATGTAGTTTATTAAAACAAGAATTCAGGATCCCTGGACATGTCTGTAACTTATCAAGAATCATCAAGTCAAATGTGCCCATATTTCGTGCATTTATGTTGTAGGAAGAAAAAAATGTATGGCAATTTTTAAGGCAAACCTTTCAATGGCTAGAACAAAATACCTGGACCTATTTGTCTGGAGTTTGGCAGGAATACTCTTCTCTGTGAGAGCCACCAAGTCTCCAAATATTATGAACTTACCTGAAAAATTAAAATGTTTCAAGTGTTTTAATGTCCCAGCCCAGTGAAAATCAATAGGAAGTGTGGATTTCTGGATTTTAATGGAACTGCTGGATAGCTCAGTGATTTAGGCGCCTGGCTGCGAAGCCAGCGATTGGGAGTTCAATACCCCACTGTACCTCCCTGCTAGGGGCTGGACTCGATCCATAGGGCCCCTTCCAGCTCTGCAGTTCTCAAATTATTATTATTAATTTGAGTTCATATCAAACTGCATCAGGTCCTAATTTGTTTCAAGCAGAACCAGGCCCAAAACATACATAAGAATGACTTAAAGGTCTCACTCATTTCAGTGGGCCCACTGCTAACAGTAGATTTAATCCCTGATATACTTTCTAGAATTCTTGCTTCTGTCTCTTAATAGAGATAGTGCTACACATCTATGTTTGTTCATATGCAAGTCATCGTCTATAACAAATGGTGCTTTAAAAAGTCTTAACACAGCTTTCTAATGTTTGTTGCATCAGAACAGTCCTTATGTCTATAAAACTTATGAACAAGTTACCTCTTTGGCATTTTTCATTTAAATCAAGTGTCTAACCTGTTGGTTAATATCCTGGAAGAATGGCACCAGAGGTTGGGTACAGTTTGTGAGTAGTAAATTAGTAGTGGCTCATTGTCCAGAAAGGAGACTTAGCTTTAGCTTTAGTCTAATTTTCATATAGTTAGGTCAATCTTGACTCTTTCTACCATTCAGCTTTCATTACTTTCAGTTCTCTGAATCAAGCTTTTTCTTCTCTGCTAATGGCATAGAATCATAGAATACTGAAGTTGAAAGGGACCTATAAGGCCATTGAGTCCAATTCCCTGATCAATGCAGGAATACAAATCAACTACCAGGTGCTGGTCTAAATTTCTCTTGAATTCCTCCAGTTGGAGCAGTGACCATCTTTCAAGTTAATTTATTCCACTGACATACTGCTCTAAGAGTTAGGAAGTTTTTCTAGTTGGAGCAGTGACCATCTTTCAAGGTAATTGATTCCACTGTCTTACTGCTCTAAGAGTTAGGAAGTTTTTCCTGATATTCAACCAAAATCTGGCTTCCTGCAACTTGCCTGTCTCACTCTCAGAAGTACCCAATGGGCATGTTTGCTTACTAAGAGGCTTAGAATATTAAGATATAGTCAGGGGAAGGAAGAACTCAAAAGAGGAAAGACAGGATTTTGTTTCTTCCATATATGAATTAGCAGTAGATTTCTCTTGCTGAATTCATGGCTGAAATTAGATTGGTGGAAACTATACCAGAGAAGTGTGCGCGCGCATGTGCATGCATATGTATGTGTGCAAAAGCCTTGCATTACCGTTCGGCAAGGAAACTGTCACTGCCAGCACCTCAAATTCAATTAAGATAAGCCACAACACTGCAATGTGGCAGAATGTCACCTATAACGAATGACACTTGCAAGTTCTTTCAAGATCTTGATGCAGGTTGTGCTCTTGTCATTCAACAATATTTTGAGCCTGGATGAATTAAGGCAGATTTGAATTCACATGACATTTCTTCTTTGTTCTGTATCCCTTTGTGAAGATCTTTAGGTTTGCTAAAGCTGAATTTCCTCCAAACAATCAGCTAACAGTTGCATTGTGAATCAAATGTCAAAATACTTTTCTTTGGCCATCATTGTTTCTTCTCTCATGCACACTTTCATTTTTGAAGAAAAGATAAATAAAGCACAAAGACTGGTTTCTGAGCTAGCTGGCAGGCACACTTCAACAAGAAGAGAATGGGTACTGAACATAGCGTACTTGAAGGAGAATAAAATCTGAGTAGGAAGGGTATAGAGGAAGGCATTTCAAGGACAACAAAAAAAGATGTTATTGCTGTTATACCACAGTTACACACATAAATTTCCAAGCCAAATGCAAACCATCAGCTATACATGGGAGCCCACCAGGCTTCTGCTTTTCTGCCTGTCTAAGACTGCAAAACTGGTCTGTGCAGTGGTCCCCAACCTTGGGCCTCCAGATGTTCTTGGACATCAACTCCCAGAAATCCTGGGCAGCAGAGGTGGTGGTGAAGGCTTCTGGGAGTTGTAGTTCAAGAACATCTGGAGGCCCAAGGTTGGGGACCACTGTGTCAGAGGGAGATATCAAACACATCTCTGGTACACAGCTGTTAGGCAGCATCAGCATGATAGATGTCAGGAGTTGCCAGATGTGTGAATCTTCAGTTTGGTGAACTACTGAACTCCAGACAGCAGCCTCTCTATGAATACATTTCAGGACTAACTCCATCAGTCCAAGACTACCAGATCCTTCTGCACAAGTAAGAATGGCTTCCTCTAGATGAGCATTTTTCAAGCAACATAGCCTTTCTAAACTCGGGTGCAGTTTTGTATTCTTAGTTATTATTTCTTCCTTATCTCTGGCTTAATTGTCAATCCTGTTTCTTCAGTACAGATGACTGTCTCTTTCTATACCTTGTAAATCACCTCAACCTGTTGCCTACAACTCACCGCAACAGTGAGTCACACAATGTGTATATCTGAGTTATCAACCTAGTTCATGACAACTTTCTCCAAATCATAATTCTATGAATTACGCTTCATAACAGATAAATAACTTACTGGGGGGTTAACGGCTTGTCTTTGCTGATTGAAAAAGCGTCATGAGTGAGAGCGTTCAAGATTATTGCAGGATACAATATATACTTTTCAAAACACTGAAGCCATACATAGAGTCTTTCAAACCACATCAAGTGAGCAGCGCCTGAAATTTTTAAAAAAAGAAAAGAATACTAATTTGTAAAAACTTACAAGTAAAGAGACATAGGCTTCAGGCATATCATTAACTGACTCATTCATTTATGACAATAATATGAAGGGGCCCCATTGCTGTGGAGTTTGTTGTTTCATCTGAAATGTGTGCTGGAATCCCAAAGAGAAATTCCAAGTTGTATACATTTCATACTTGAGATTGTAAGATAAAAATTACAACAATCACACAACACAATACAATAATCAGAGTCCCTGGTGAGTACTGGAAATAGTCATATGTAATATGCATTGCCATCCAGTTTATGGTCAGGTATTCACAAGGAATACAACCCAGCATTCTGTTATCCCTATATCCAGGAACTGTATTAGGCACATAAGTACTCAGTTGCCGTCTGTTTTCTACCTCCTCTCTTTGTTTTGGAAACAGACACCTGGTCTAGCTCACTCAGCTGGAGTACCTGGCTGTGGCAGCAAAGGACAAAATTCAAATCCTCACTATGCCTCCTGGGAGAAGGGTCAAGTCAAAATCACTGTAGTTGTTCATCACTGATAGGGTCATGTGTTCTGCCATCCATGCAGAATTTAACAGACACCACCAGAAGGAGGGACTGGTGGACCACTTCCAAATATGTGATGCTTAGAACACGGTGAAAGGACTGTCATAAGTTAGAACTGATCTGACAGTATCTGATAATAATTAGTTTTTGTTTTCAGTAATACTTTATGAATCACCTGATATACAAAATACCACACCCACTTTAATGTAAAACGTGTAAACATATGCAAAACTTTTAGGGATGGGTAGCCAAATGTTTAGTTACCAAATGTGGTGTAGTGCAGTGGTCCCCAAATGTGGGCCCCCAGATGTTCTTGGACTTCAGCTCCCAGCAATCCTGGCTAGTAGAGGTGGTGGTGAGGGCTTCTGGGAATTGTAGTCCAAGAACATCTGGAGGCCCAAGGTTGGGGACCACTGGGTAGTGGATAGAATGGCAGACTAGGACTCATGAGGCCTGTATTTGAAACTCTGCCTAGTCATGGAAGCTCACAGGGAATATGGAAATATTTCACTTATCTCTAAAGCCCTATTAGAGTTGCTACAAGCTGGTTTCTACTTGACAGGATAGAACAGCAACAACAGCCAGTCCTTTACATACCTTTCACTTCTCTTTGACAATATTCCTTATTTTTAAGGATAGGATGGGATATCCACATCCATGGATGGTGTTTGCGAAGCTGAGGGAGTAAGTAGTGTGTAACAAATCCCACAGTCCATGCTAAAGCAAAGAGCACCAGGCTGAGAAATCGCTGAGAGAAAAGGAAAATAAAGTGGAAATAAACTAAGTATCATACCATAAAATATTTTTGCAATATAAAACACTGCCAGTTTCCTGAACCCTTTTTAATTCAATAATTATTCAAGAATTGCCAACGTTTGTTTTGAAAATACATGCTTGTAGATATAGCACGAGGGAAGCGGATGGAGGATTAAGGAAATGAAAGTAAAATCCACTATACTTTCTCTTTTTTTGTAATGTGTTTTATCACATAAAATGTACTGATATTTTAATTCAAGAAAAAGAAATGAAATGTTGCATGATTTTCTCCGCCTCTACAAAAAACATATTTTTCCCAACTTTCGTAGGCTAAAGAATCCATCCCAGTGGGTAACTGAAAAACAGAAAGCGCCTTACCAAGGAATGTTGTTGGCATGTGAGACCCAAACCCCACGTCTATGGCTTGATACTAGGATGGAGTGTAAGGAATGCTTTGAGAGAGTGGTAAAAATATCTTGCTCGATAAATATGCACAGAGGTCAGAAAACAAGGCCAATAAGAAATAATATGCATGCTTTAGCCATCATGGAGAGGCCACTCTGAAACTATTGCATAGCAGCTGCTCCATATTTTGACAGTAACACTGAAAACAGTTTAGTATGCTGGTCTTCCTGCTTGAATGGTGTTTTCTACCCTATCAGCATGGGGAACTGGCTGTCACCGGCTGTGGTGACACATAAGCACTCCCCATAACCACTTTTTGAACATAGTGGATTATTCAGCGTTATATGTCCATTTTCTGAAATCCTGCTACTGATTATGCTGTGTAAGGAGGACAATTTCATTAACTGCAGCAATTTTTTTTTGGAAATTAAATATTTCCAGCCCCTCTCCTTATCAAAAATCCTGAGGCTTCCATGGAATCCCTTTTGCTTCTGGGAAGCTGTTAGGGACCATGGAATGGAGGGTAGGGCAGCATTTTTAATCACTGGAAATTGCTACTACTTGGATGACTTTAGTGTTGGTAGCAGTTTTTTTGTAATAACTCCCCCTCCCATTCTTAAGAATATTAGAGGGAAAAATCAGAAATGTTCAATTTACAAAAAATCATTGCAGATGACATCCTCATCTTTCCCAGCAGGATTTCACCCACTGTCTAGTGCTTCACTTTCTGTAATCACTATAATATTATATATTATATATATAAACTCAAGAAGAATATTACCTGCCCAATTAAACAACTCCACTTTCATCAAATAACACTATAAACACACTAGTAGATATGTGCACAAATTAAAAAATGAATCACTAAATTCATTCAAAAATTGCTAATTCGTCAATTCATATTTGTACAAATCAATGCCCTCAATGAATATGAATCAATGAATTTTAGCACTTTTTGATTCATTGATTCATTTGGCTATATAATGCCTCTCCAGGCACCTAGAGCCACCAAAATTGCATGGAAGCTTCCTCTGGCTCTCCTCTACAATCCCTTTAAGTTTGGTGAAGATTGGATTTCAGTTGTCTGAGTTATACACCCACAAAGAGGGCCCCAGAAAGGTCCCCCCAGCACCTAGAGACACCAAAATCACAGAGAAGTTTCCAAAATTCTCCTTTGCAGTCCCTCCTAGTTTGGTGAAGATTGAGTTTCCCCAAGCCAGCTGCTAAAGGACACTTTCCTGGAAGGACCCGGTTTGTGAGTGTATAATCTGAATGTCTGAAACCAATCTTCACCAAACTTGGAGGGATCGTCAAGAAAAGCCATGGGAAGCTTCTCAGTCATTTTGGTGTTTCTAGGCTCCTGGGGGGGACTTTGCTAGGGTGGTCCTCCCTGTGGGTTTATGATTCAGACACGTGAAAGCCAATCTTCACCAGACATGGAAAGAGTATAGAGGAAAGTCAGGGAAAACATCTCTGCAAATTTGGTGTGTCTTGGTGCTTGGGAGGCTATTTTACAGGGTTTTAAAGTAAAAAACAAATTGATGAACTGATTCATGAATTGTTTTTTCGGGCTCTTTGGCCGTGTTCTGAAGGTTGTTCATCCTGATGTTTCGCCAGTCTCTGTGGCCAGCAATTTTCAGAGGACTGGAATAGGAACTCTGTCCATGCTCTGTTGCTGTTTGTTGGATAGTTGAGTATTTATAGCTGTGGGATACTCAATACCCAACTATCCAACAGACAGCAACACAGCATGGACAGAGTTCCTACTCCACTCCTCTGAAGATGCTGGACACAGAGACTGGCGAAACGTCAGGAAGAACAACCTTCAGAACATGGCCAAAGAGCCCGAAAAACCCACAACAACCATCAAATCCCAGCCGTGAAAGCTTCGAGAATACATTGATTCATGAATTCTTCAGAGAAAATTGTAAATCTATAATCCGTGATTCGATGACCTTGATGAATCATGAATCAAAAGGAATCACCATTCGTCTGATTCACGCCCATCTTTACACACTAGTTATTGCTTTAAAATATTTTCCACACTTTGCACACCTCGTTTATCCACTAGTTTTCTACCTTCTTTTATTAGCTGCTGACCTTCACAATTCCCTGCCTCTTACACCATTCCCTTTTCATGCTTCTTCCAGCTATTCCTCTCACAAGTTTGTTTTTTGGTGTATTGCTTCTCTTTCCTTTTTCTAGCTCCCTGCTTTTACTATCCTTTGCTTCTTGCAGGTCCTCCTTCCACAGTCAATTATCTTTCAAGCAAGTCTTTTCTCAGGCAAAAAGAACTTTGATTTCATGACTGCCATGGACACTTCATCGCCATAAAAAAATCATAGACAACCTGAGATATTACATTGGTTCGGCCAATTTGTGCTATTTTCATAAAAGTTCTGTGTGTCGTTTAATACATATTTAAACCTGGATCCCTGGGTGTTTGAAATGACATGAAACTCCCATTATGCCTTACAAGCAAATATTTTGTGTACTACTTTGTTCAAAAGCAGTCTGCTATAATATCTCATTGTTCCAAATGGCAGAGATAATATCATAGGCGATAAGACAGAAGAAACAGATTGTGATACATACCCCTAATGACAAGAAAACAGTGCTGGCACTGATGGCAAATGACAGCACGGCAGCGACAGAGCACACAATGAGATCTGATTTCAGGGTCTCCCTCTGTGAACATAATTTTGAAAATATAAAAGCACACAGAAAGAACAAATTTTGACTTGCTAAATTAAACTACTCCATCCTTAGCAGTTGACAGTTTCATTGTAATTGTATCAGTCATTGTTTTTAATGTATGTTTCCCATAAAGCACTTGCTCAGCAGTGCTTACTTGAAGGTTCAAACAACCATCATGACGCTTCTGTAAAAATTGAACATTTACATCTGCTGACTCTCCTACAACAAAATACAAGATTTATCCAGTACTCAGCTTTTGAAATAAAGGGTGAGTGTACAGGACCAATGCTTAATGGGCTAAGTAAAGTTAGAGTAGTCGGGGGGAGGGGGAAGAGAACTCAGTTCAAATTCTCAAAGCCAATCACATCCTCTCAGACCAACCTAATCTTACAGGTTTATAGTGAGGACAATATATGCTTCCTTAAGAGAGAGGATATAATGTGAGAAACAGAGACGAGAAATGTGCAACATGACCTGGGTAATTTATTGATCTGAGTGAGCTGTTCATTTTCTTAAACTCTAGACAAAGCACAATGAACACCCTCATACAATCTCTCCAAGATGTTGCTTTGAAAATATCCTCACTGACTTATTTCTTTAATGATAACAATGCATCTGAGGGTCTGCTTCTGCCCAAACCCTACAGAACCCAGCTAGCAAAACTCTATAGGATTGTACTCTCAGGGGGGCAAATATCAAAACAGTTTATCTCTACAAACCCTACTCCAGCACAGATTCATCAAGAGAATCACTCTTCCATTGTGCAGACTGGATGTAGAAGTCCATCCAGAATCATATGAAATCTAGAGGCCTATTACTGCCCCATTGCATACAGCTAGTAGAGGTTGCACATCTCCATCTGCTCTATAATAATAAAGAACCTGCAAGAGTGATGATATTAAATCCATAATACAGTATGTAATTATGGATTTAGCCCACTGTTTATGAAGTATTTGTTTCAGGAGTGGGGATATCAGCAATACTGAAGCTGATGAGTGATGGCTTGGGATGTGGTTTTTGATGAAGTAGACTTCGGGGGGGGGGGCAGGGAGCCTACAACTTCTTCCTACCTTCTACAAAGAAATTTGTTTATGACAAATTTCAACATAAGCAATTAAATTGTATGTTTCTTCTTTTTGCACTTAATTGAGTCTTCTAGCACTCCACACATTTATAAGTAGGAATTGCGCTGCAAGTTCATAAATTCAAAATGAGAGGGTAGTATTTGTCAGTTTCTGAACTGATCCATAACAAATTGAGGAAGCCCAAAGCAATACTTGTTTTAAACTACAGTGGTGCCTCGCTAGATGAGTGCTGCAAGTTCCACTGAAATCGCTGTTTAGCGAAATCATCGTCTAGCGAAAAGCATTTCCCTATTGGAATACATTGAAAACTGCTAAATGCGTTCCAATGGGGAAGAATCATCGTTGTCTAGCGAAGATCGGCCATAGGAAAGCCGCTTTGCGAACTGCCGATCAGCTGTTTAAATAGCTGGCTTGCGAAGCTTAGGTCCCGAAAACACCCATTTTGCGAGCGCAGAGGGAGCTGTCAAAATCATTGTCTAGCGAAAATTGGTTTGCGAAGCAGGGACCAAACATTGTCCTGCGATATTCCCCCATAGGAATCACTGTTTTGCGAATCACTATAGCGATCGCAAAAAGTCAATGTCTAGCGAAAAAACTGTCATGCGGGGTAACTGTCTAGCAAGGTGAATTTCGTTGTATGGGTATACTGTAAACTCGGTGCTAGCATATCTTACTTGGAAATGAAAGAAATACTTTAACAGAACAAAGAAGCCTAAGGCAAAAGGTGATTAACAGCTCATCCACTCACCAATGAAAACCAAATCCTTAGTAGGGTTCAGATCAACTAGATAAATTCTCTTCTCCTGTGAGCAGTGGCCATTTCAAATCTTGCCAGGCAAGGAATGGGTGTTTGTTAGAGATTGCCTGCTGTCAATTTATGTACAATTGATGTGCACTGGATAACTTTTGCTGTTTTGTACTCTTTGACTGTTAAGTACTCTTCCATGCCATTTTAATATAGAATTTTATTTTTGAGAAATGTAGTAGTCTGAAACTTTAAATGAAAAAGCTGCTTCATACAGCAAGCCATAAAAGGATCAGCACACTGGGACTCATGTCACTCCCAGTGTGGTGAACCCCGATTGAGATTTCAAATGTAATAAAGGCTGCATCAAACCAAATAGTTCCAATTCAGCTTTCTAGTGTTGTTGCACTCTCAGTTTCACCACCCATTCCAGAGCCCTTGGTTTTTCTCATTTTCACATTTATCTACTATTCTTTATTTTTGTCACCCATACAAATAAAGAAAAACATTTTAAATATTCAAATACAAATGAAAGTGGACAGGCTACAAATGGCTCAAAATGTATTGGTTGTTATTTTTCAGAAATAATTTGGACTGCATCAAATGGATGATATTTGCACATCCCTACTTATAAGTCACTAGCTCTCAATAGTGACGGAAAGGAAGTTGAGTTTGAATGTAATTCATGAAGACCTCGGGCTGCTGGTTATGCAGTAATCAATCAAGTGGATGCCTGTGAAAGTAATTATAAAACTAGGATTTTTCATCCTGAAAGAAGAATGGTCAATTATTCAACATAATTGCCTTGTACTTCTTGTCACCAAGGGTGAAAGTTGGTACACTGAAGCAGCTAAAATGTATCATAGGTCACTGAAAAATGCTTTGTAAGTTACTACTACTATGCATGGAAAATCAGGCAGCTTTATGTCACATATTAAATCCCTCTAGATCATCATAAGGAGAGAAATCAGTTATTTTCAGCTAAAAGGTATTGATTTAAAAGGAACCAATTTAGATAGCATCCAGTTTATTGTACACTTGTAAGCAGGTAACACTACATATTCTATTCATTATAATATTATATTTGTATATAATTGTAATATCACAGATAGGTAAGAACACAAATATGTTATTATATTCCTTTCTCACATGACATAAGGAGAGAAATCAATTATTTTCAGCTAAAAGGTATTGATTTAAAAGGAACCAATTTAGATAGCATCCAGTTTATTGTACACTTGTAAGCAGGTAACACTACATATTCTATTCATTATAATATTATATTTGTATATAATTGTAATATCACAGATAGGTAAGAACACAAATATGTTATTATATTCCTTTCTCACATGACAATTTCAATTAAGTGGTTGATTTAACATTTTTACACGATGCATTGTGAAGCTGGAAGTCATAAGGGCATTATGGTAGTTAAAGAAAGCTATGACTTGCAAACCAAATTATACACCATCATGGCTGGGCACTGCAAAATGCTGTTTAATTCATGGAATTTTAAATTTATAAGCAACTTGTGGAGAAATGTGCCTTGTGCATATTTTTCCAGAGTATTACCTGAACTCTCAGTTTGGACTGTTGAACCTAACTAGGACTGTGAGATGTTACCATGTGAATAGAACAGAGAGGATTTTTCATGAAAGCAAAACAAGGCAAGAATTTTAATGGCAATCTCTCATTAAGTCTTAGATAAGTATGCATTGCTGTATCAAATGCATACTCGTTTAATAGAGAAACAAGAAATGTTTCTGTAGTTACTATAGTTATTAAGAAAATAATGAACATATTATTAAACAAATTTAGGAGAGGTCCCACAGCTAGACTACGATGCAGCAGTAAATACCTCCCCTCTCTCCAAACAAGATGCCATTTTAGAATCTGAGGCAGAAAATTTGTGAATTTCGTTGTATGGGTATACTGTGTATATACTTACAATGACAATAAATTATTATTATTATTATTAAAAGTGCACAAATACTGTTCTTTCACCCTGGAAGTAAAAGGACTACAGTAACAAATTATAATCACAATCAACGGTCTTGTTCTGTCTAATGTTAGAACTTTCTCTGATTAGTTTGCTATGAAGGACAATTCAAATATGATGAAATATTTCTTATTTATCTTCCAGATTTAGACTACTTTTAATTGTGAATATTTATAATCACAAAAGATGGGGAAAATGATCAGAGATCCTAATAACCACACGTAGTACCATACAAAAATGATTTGGGTTATTCCGAAAAATGGCAACAAATGGTATGAATAACAAGGTTGTTCCTTACACGTATTTCTCCTGCATGATTCCCAGATGTCAGTGCACTTTATCCAACACTCCTTGGGGGAATGCACAACTTCCCACCTCATCTAATAAAGAGGTTTTGAAAAGAAATTTTGAAACACAATTTCTTCTGCAGCTTCTCTGAATGTCCAAGCCTTCTAAAGATTATGTCTCCACTGAGTAGAGCATTCAAGTTTAAAACAGCATGCTTGAGATCCAGAAGATACATACATGAAATGTGAAGTCTATGATCAGATCCCAAACATATTTATATCTAAGTTTAAAGCATCCATAGGCAGCTTAACTTTTATTTCAAGCAGAAGTGTAAGAGAGAGGGATTTAACTCTTTGCTCAATTTCAAATCCCTCCACAAGCCATTAGCCCTGCCAAATCAGCATTTTTTTTATCTAGTGTAGTCTTGTCTGCTGTGGAAGCAACTCCCTGAGGTTTCAGGTAGAAAACTTCCCCAGGGATAGAACTTGGAATTTTATACGTGCTTTCATATAGTCCCATTCCAAAGCAGATGCAGGTAACTATACTGTAGCTACAATATTCCCCAGTGAAGTAACAGGAGCTCAGTAGGAGCAATTTAAAATGTGAAAATAACAGAAACGGACAGGAAACCACGCCTCTGTTCTGCTGATGCTGTTATTTTCATCAAAAATCAGAAGCACCCATTGTTACTTTCATATGAAAATGTTTAACCATATTTGCAGGCATATCCCATCTGTTCTGGACACAACCAGCATACAAAATATCTGCTAATTTTCACATGGAATAACAGCCACTATTTCTACTCAATTCACTCATTATCAATTTTGCAACTTTTTTAAATATTAAAGAAATTCAGTGACTTTCTTCTTTCTGTCAAAGAAGGAAACTTAAGAATATGGAAGTCAATGGCATGTCTCATCCTTAAAACCTTTCTGTCTTTGTCATTGTCAACAATGATTCCATCTTAAGCTATTCACAGCTCAGTCTCTGCTCCTGTGCTAGAGTTTTCAATAATTTCATCAAACATCTTGACACTATGGCTAAAACCTTGTTGCTTAGTGTAATAAGTCACACTAGAATAGGGCCACTGAATCAATGGGGATTTGGTGAGACAACTCCTCCACAGATTCCATTGATTCAAATTTGCCCACTCTAATTGTCATTTGCTCTGCTAAAGTAAGTGGCAGTTAGAGTAAGCCCATCTGAATCAAGGGAATTTCTTTAATATTTAAAAAGTTGCAAAACTGATAATGAGTGAATTGAGTAGAAATTTGAGTCATTGGGCCTACTTTAGTGTAATTTAGTACATTAAGCAGCAGGATTTTGGCTTACATGTGTAAAATGATGTCACATAGTAATGATGTAAAGCAGGTAGCACCCTCAGATAGGAATAGGCATCCTTCAGTCCCAAGAGACTATGGTATCGTGCTCTGCACGGAGGACCTGGAACAGCGTCTAGTGTGGCTGAGGAGGCCAATTCGAGAGTGAGCACCTTCAGATAGATTTCCACATAATAAACAAAATAAGCCTACCACTGAGTCTCTCAGCTTCTCAGGAAGTGGATCAGATTGTGAATCTTCCAAATGTTGATGCAGAAGATGGGGAAAATATCTACACTGAATAAGAGACCTAGTTTTAAAAAAAAGCAACACCATTCAATTAGGACAAAAAAACCAGTATGTGATTAATTCATAGGACTCTTCAGAGAAAAGCAATCTGGACATTAGGGCCTCTTTGTTGTTGACTAACCTGGGCCAAAGGGATCCAGCAACTCAGTACTTGAGCACTAATTAGATTCCAATGTTATGTCATAAACAATGTAATTCTTTCAGGGGACAGTCTTGTGAGTGTCTCCATGTGAGAAGAAGGCCCTGACACCCTTACAAGAGGAAACTGTCAAACAATAGTAGAAGAATGGGTGCTGCTAGCTTCTTACAATGACAGCTGTGAAGATATTATTATAACATTCTGATAGTCATAGACTATTCAGTGGTCAGTAGCAAAAATTGTTAGCCCCTCCCCCCACCAAACTGCCTGATGAGCTTCTACTCGTTCAGACTGTAAAACACAGAAGTGTTTCAGAATGTGGCAGCAAATGATTGTTCAGGGCTGAAGCAGATGCCCGTGCAAGGGTCATTTGGCCTAAGTAAAAGTACAATAGATATATAGAAAATACGTGTTATTTATGTAGAGTGTCCTTCCCTCCATATCATTACTATCTTAAAAACAGGTGTAGTGAGTGTGTGTGGTGTGTCTCCATCTGTGTTTACATATGTATACATATACATCTGTTTATGTTGCTGTTTGTGTAAATGTACACATGTGCACACAGATATTATTTTTGCATGCTAAAAATCAAAACAGAAAAATGGAAACAATATATGTGTTGATTTAGGGTAGTTGTGAAATTACAGTTTAACTTAGTGCCTCTCCTTTTGGAACAGTCATATTCTAGAGATTAAAAAGAGGCATTCAAGAAAAATGTAGACAACCACCTGCAGATATCCTTTGATTTGTATTCCTGCATTGAGCAGGGAGTTGGACTTATAGCCCCCTTCCAACTTCATTATTCTGTGATTCTATGAAAAACAGCTAAGTAGTAAATATTTTAATTTCAAATTTAGCTTTATGTTTCCATTTCTTTTTCATCTTTACTCCCAGTCCTTCAAATACCCTTTCATTTAGTTCAAAGTAATTTTGGGGGAAGAGGATTATGCACTTTAATCATCGTTGCTCCATTAATATTTGATGCTTTTTAAATATCAGAAATGTGTTTTAATCCCAAACAAGAATTTTAAGCGCAATTCAAAATGCAGAGTTGTGATTATAGGTATTACAGGAGATTAGAAATTGTACAGGGCAACCAGGCAATGATTTCAAGGACATAAAATACCTAAATTAAAGCAAAAATTGAGAGCCTTATTTTTTATAAATAAGAATTAAGGAAAACAAGTTTGTAGAATAATAAAAATGCATACTTTTTGAAGTTTGAAGCCAATAATACATCCTTATTTTGACTTTGTGTTCCCAGATATGCACATGTTTTGCAAAATACATAAATAAACTTTAGGTTAAACTATGTTAAAATACATATTATTCAGTAAAATGAGTACAAAAGGCATATATTTAAAAATAATAATAAAGCCAGCTTTACGACTGAAGCAGGATGGAATATATTATATATGAATATACATGATAATATAAGGACCATACATAAGACTGATATATACATCCCCTCTGATGCTCATTATGAACAAAATAAAACAAAATCCCAGCAGCAAATGTAGTACAACTTACATTCCCAATAAACTCAGCCTTTTTAAAAGCCTACCATTACACCCATAGACATGAAGAAATATAGTGATAGTGAATTTCACAGATTAATTATATATAGTATGCCTGTATCATTTGTCCAGTAGCTATTGTCAATGAAGTCTAAGGTCACTGGATGATTCCTGGTTCAACTAAATGACCATTGACAGGGGAGATTTAGATCATGTTTGTGGAAGCAACCTATCACTGATATTGATTATGTAAACTTTCAATTTGTGCTCATTTTTATTCCTGTCACAATTGATTGTTCTCTGCCATGCTACAGGCAAAGCATTAGTCAGCAACTTTTTCAAATGAGTTGATGCTGGCTTCCCTTAATCTCTAGACTTAGATCTTTTATAAGAAATTTAAAGGAGCAGCTCCACATGTACACCAATGTTGCAGCAAATGTTCAAATGACAACCACATAAATTTTGGGTGGCTATAACTTGAAAAAAACACATTAGATTTAACATGTTCATTAAAAATCAATATTTCTGTGTTAACAGGAGGAAAAGCCAATAAATCAATCTAAAGAATAACATTTGCTGTGTACCACTGTTACTTTCAAAACTTTGCTTTAAGAGATTTGCATTCCTGATATTTAAAACAAAAGGCTTGCATTCCTTATGTTTCACAAAGAAGTAATGGTTTTAACATTAACATGTTAAATCTAACATTGTTTCCAAACTCTGCAAGTGACACACTCGGACACCTGCATTTTAAAAGAGATGTTTATTCCTACGGGCCAAGAGGACTCAAGGACTCACTTAGGTCGTAGCCTCCAGATGTGTGCATCAGTTGTCTCACAAGAGAAGGCATGGCAATCACGTTTGCCATATAAAGTGTTTGCAATACGGAGTAGTCTTGAGAGGAATTAGGCTACTGTCTGACTAGAAGATGTAAATAGAAGACATAATGGCTAAAAAATAAAAAAATTGCTGTTGACTTACATTAAAACAGTTGGGTCACTGCTTTGCCTACTCAGATGATACGAGAGTGCAACTAAAAGGCCACAGAAAGCAGAGAACAGTGCAGGAATGTGCTGTGCGTCCCAGGGTTCCTGCAGGAAAAGGTGAGGGGCAGAGAAAATTTTTTGAATTAAATCGAACATTTTGAATTAAACATGACAAATTAAAATTCACCTTGGAAGAAAGCTAAGCATTGCTTGTCCTCTTAAACGTATTTCATTTGCTTCTCACATTAAAAGAACCGATAGGTTCTCATATTGTCTAATATGGCTGAAGTTGAAATATTTCAGAGACAATTATGTAAACCAAAGTCTTTAGAACCAGCAAAAGAAACAAAGAAAACCACATGAAAGTTGTACATTCTGTCCTTATTCTAAACCTGTGGGTAAACTGGATAATCTTAATTTAAATATGCAATGATTATAGCTCATTTCCCCTCCCATGCGATGACAGGTAGCTATTTCAAATGCAACTCTTAGAGAACCATAGTAGTTTATAGGAGTTGATGGGCTGCATTTAGAGCTGGAGAGAACAAAATTCTGCCACCTCTTCCAGAAGGGAAGAGAATTCCCTGGATGAGCCTGACAGAGAGTGTGGGAGTGGCACAAGTGAGGTGATACTGGCAATCCATATATCCCCCGCTTCTTCCAGTGGAAGCATCCTCTGGATCAGAGTCACTTGCATTCATGGAAGCAGAACAGACTTGCTTTAAATCAAGCTGATTACAATCATGATGCAAATCATAATTCAAATCAGCCCTTCTTAATGGGGCCCTATGTTCTTCAGGGGCCTTTGTGTCTAACTCTGAATGTGCACGCTTAAAAACTATAGAAGTGCCCATGAACACAGGATTATTTGAAGTGGAGTCAATCAGGATAAGGAGTAGCTTGGAGATGAAGGAAGGAGTAGGCACTTGGGGAAAAAAGTATGAGGAAAGTAAGGTGTTTGGCAACATACATTGGAAGATTTGAGGTGTTTGGGGCACAGTATTTATTGTCTGAGGTCTACCATGCCACTCCTCCCGCCCCCCATTTGAAGGGGGGCGCAGACTGGAAACAGTTCTTCACACACCACCTTATACGATCCTAATTCAACCTGTGCTCACTGGAAGGACAGACCCTGGTGCTGAGGCTCCAATACTTTGGCCATCTCATAAGAAGAGAAAACTCCCTGGAAAAGACCCTGATGTTGGGAAAGTGTGAAGGCAGGAGGAGAAGGGGACGACAGAGGATGAGATGGTTCGGACAGTGTCACTGAAGCTAGCAACATGAATTTGACCCATCTCCGGGAGGCAGTGGAAGACAGGAGGGCCTGGTGTGCTCTGGTCCATGGGGTCACAAAGAGTTGGACACGACTTAACAACTAAACTACAAGTTTAGCCTGTATTTCTTTCATATTGTGTTTATGGCCATGGCCAAAATAAGGTTGAGTGGCTGACTGCTGATTTAAATCACTCTCCAAAGATTCAACTTAATCACATAATTTGCTCCTGCAATCTGCACCCTTGTTCATTATAAGCCTAATACATATCCATAACGTATACCATTCAACCTCTGAGTGGCGAAGAGCTTCTTGATAACGGAACAGACTGCCTTGAAGTGCGGTGGACTCCCCTTCATTGAATATTTTTAAACTGAGGTAGACAGATACTTGTTAGAGATGTTTCAGATGTGGATTTCCTGTTTTGGCAAGGGGATGGACTCTATAATAGCTGGGGTCCCCTCAAGCTCTACACTTTTATGATTCTAAATATGAAATGGAAAACAGATGCTCCATCATCACATTTTTTTTAAAAAAAAATCCATCTCCTTCCCCATCTATTGGTCTGGCCTTATTAGCTGCTGCTCATATCGTTGTTCATTTTTTTTTAAAAATCTTGGTTCATCTATACCTTCTGGAAATGGGATAAGCAGAATTTTATACCACTGTTTCTATATTTTAGCCATATGATTTTTTCCATTTTACTTTTAAGATACTACTACTACTATCATCATCATCATCATCATCATCATCATCATCATCATCATCATCATCATCATCATCATCATCATCATCATCATCACCATCACCATCATCATTATTGATTGTCCTAAAATAACATGTGTGCTTTTTTAATGCTGTCTATTTATCACTTCATCTTCCAAAGTGTATTTCCATACATCCTTTTCATTCTTCTGTGACACCTGCATTATTGTTCAGGGTATAAGGCTCTCCAGGGAAAAAGTCATATTTGTGTTCTACGTAGTACTCTGGTGGGTGGGGGCAGTATAGCCAGCAATGTGGATGCTTCTACTGATCTGGCATATTCTTCACTGTCAGTGCATGGAATGAGCAATAAAAAGACATGCAAGGTAATGTTTAACAAGGAAAGCAGGTTTAATACCATGCCTTCATGGTGCATTTAAAGAGGTACGAAAATCCTAATACCAGTTAAGAGATGAAATAAGGAGTATCAGTTTTATATGGTTAATTATTCTGTCTCAGAATCTCTTCAAGAAGAACAGAGTTATGAAAATATAAATTAGCAGTGATTTTTCTATGCAAACAGAAATTCTGCTGCAATTTGCAACAGATATCTTGTAAATCTTTGACAGCATTCTCCAACTTCAGGATCATAAGCACATTTCAAAGCACCATGAAGTCTAGCCTATGGGCAAGATTGCTTATCTACAAAGCCACCTGCCTGATGTAATTTAGATGACTGTGCTATGAAAAGATGTGCAAATGGCAGAACATATTTAAAAGGATTGTCCTTAATGCTATTTATCAAAATGACAATTTGGAAGTTCAGTTTACCCTGAAAGTGCACAAACGCAGACAAAGGAATGTGTCAATGTGTTTTCACTAGATTCTCCTCCTGTCCTTCCTAATCTCGTGCAGAATTTCCCAGCTGTATCCATTTTTAATTCCTCTTATTCTGCCTTCACAAGAGATCAAAGACCCAGCTAATACACAGCAATAGGCGCAATTCTCTTCGAAGGGTTGGGGAATCAACACATGGTCCTCTCTTTCACCAGGCAGGGCATGGAATATGTTATGGAGGGTATTTTTACAGATCTTTCTATACACACAAAGTACCAGTTGGCATGATGCTACTTATCCTTTTTTTTTTCAAATCATGAAAATCAGAACACTGCACATAAAAGTCTCTGAGTAAAGGAAAACCAAGGAACTGATGCTAGAGCCACAACAATCGCTAATAAGTTTGGCTACCAGAATAATGCCCCTTACCTTTACTGCATTGAAGCAGAAAGCATACAGAATGATCACAACTATAAAGCTTCGAGAAATACTGTATAGTGCAGAGAACAGCCCAGCAGCAGCTGAAACACAGAAATCAAAATTTACTACTTCTTTTATGGACATAGCTACTGTAGTGCAAACCAAAACTATGAAAAGTCAATGGCAATTTATTGCTAAAATTATTCTCAGACTGTTTTGCTTGGATGGGTTTAATCCAATCATTAAAAAATTTAAAAAAATCAAACCGATTTTTAGACTCATGGAGCCCAGAACTTTAAACTGATCTGTTTCAAAACAGATTAAGTAAAATCACACTGATGTGAGACATAAGCCTTCTTCAAGCACTATAAAAGCATATGGGGATTACATATGAGGGAAGCCAGTGGGCCCAGACAGGCTTGGTCCCATCTGGATTCTATTACGCGAAGTCTCTCAACAGGCAGAAGAGACTTCAGAACGCAGATGGCCATCCTTCACTCTGGGAGGGCAACCAGAACAGCACCACACTGCGGTGAAACAAAATGACTAATCTTCCACCTCCATCCCGATATGCAAAATCTGAATGCTGTCACAATACTTGAAGGGGCTGCTGTGAACAGGTATGAATAAAGTACCTAGTGACTGAGAACACAAAACAAAGGAAGCATGTTGCACGAAAAGACCAAGAGGTGCTCATTAGCCAGAGAAATCTGACATCAAATATAGCAACCTTTCCTTAACTGGTTTTAAATTGTTTATAATTCTCAGATGTCTCCACTGTCATGCATATTTTTAAAATTGCCTTTCTATATATGAAGTGCCTCGGGCAGTTTATGATCCCCGGCAGGCATCTTTGGATTTGGCCTCAATTTCTTTTGAATTTCCTGGCAGACCCACTGCAATAATGACCAAACTAATTGCTCGCTAATTCTCTGGTACAGAGAAATAACACCAGCACATAAGAACACAAGGTGTTGCTACTTTCAAAGAGCAACAATATTACTGCTGGTTCTTCAAAGAGGGATTGACAACCGCAGCAATGACAAGATGGTGAAATCCATGCCTGGGCATCCGGACTGTGGTACTCTCCACCAGGATGCAGAGGGAATAGCCATCCTTTTTGGGGTGCTTTCCCTCAGTGACTGGCTGCCTGGGTGGGATTTTTAGATGCATTGTTATGCAATACTGTACTACTTTTTGAATGTGTCTTTAGTATTGCTTGTGTTTACCATTTCTCAGAGTGGTATCTGTTCCTTTTAAATATTTGTTTAAGTGTTGTTTTTAGCTTTTAATCTTGTCTTCATGATGTAAAGCACTTTGGGTGCTTTTTAAGAAGAAAAGTGGGGTAAAATGAATGAATGAATGAATGAATGAATGAATGAATGAATGAATGAATGAATGAATGAATGAATGAATGAATGAATGAATGGACTGCATTCATTCTGTTAACAGGCAAGGCAAGGGAAAGAAAAGATTTTTTTCAGTAGCGTATTTCCATATTTTCAAACCTGACATTCTTTTTATTTTCCTTGTATATATTCTTTGTATGCGTAAGGGCTGGTACAATGTTACAAGCACCCCAAGCAGTTGCTTAGGACCCATGTGGACTCTGAGGGGCAAACCCAGAGTCACAGAATACACCAAGGCATGTGATGCCGATCGCACAACGACCAAAATTGGTAAAAAAAAATTCACAGATAATAAGGCTACCAATGCAGTGAAGAAAGGGGAATTACTACTACACTGCAGTCCAGCTTTCTTTAGTAACATACCATCTAGGATAATCTTATGAAAATGATAGCTATTAAACATCTCCAGTATTAGAGACAGGGTGACTCTGAAAATAAGTTGCTATGGAGCAGAAGTGGAAGGGTTCCACATAATCAGCATTCATGGCCTGGTTTGGGGTTTCTAAGGCCATTTTCTTGACACTATGGGAAATAAGCTGTTGATCCAAGGCAGCTTATGTCCCACAGTCTTATGTTTTGACTGCATGTGATTAAATAAAGTGCTTACCAGAGCCGCCGAACAGCAGCATATCCAACTGTTCCAGGAGATATATGCAGAAAGTGTTGATTTGTGGGAAAAGGCCAAGAAGAGATATTGCAGGAAAGCAATATAAAAAACCTGGGACACAATCAGAAAATCAGATTGTTGGTTACATATGAAGGTTTCAAAAGAAAAAAATGTTTTTCATTGGGACAACATCTGTAACTAACATATACAAGCCTAGGGTCAACAAGAAAGAAGATGCCAAAAGAGATTTGGAAGAACTGATGGAAGTACTTCAAAGCCATCACCTGCATGTTCCAAATTTCCTGTTGAACTCTCTAGCTTTTGCGTGAGTTTTACATGGGGCTTCCTTCAGACAAGCATAAAATCCCAAGCAGTATCTGCTTCCACACATTCAACTTTTATGTATGTTTGTTCCAGTGCTTTTCACTGCCATCATGGTATAAAACCCTGGATCTAAGTTAGCGAATCCTCGTAGATCTTTATGACTTTTACATGGGAGCTTCATCAAACCATTATCAATTCATGTAAAACCTATGGATATGGGGCTGGCCTATAAAATGATGGCGCTGTGAAATTCCCATATATTTTTTTTAAAAGTGAGGACCCTTAAGGATATGGACCTAGAATCCATATATTTGTACCACAGTAGTGCCAGAAATGATGACTCCCCAATTCTTATTGTGTACTTTACAGACACAATGATAAATTTAATTTTAATGATTGTTTGGAGTCTGGAATGCTATATTAAAACCAGTAAATGTAAGAGGATCCATTTTAATTCTACCGGATCTGGTATTTAGATCTCATAGAAAATGAACGAGACCAAATTAACAGAGAAGCCAAGAAAAGCAAATTCATATTTAGCCATGAGATTCGCTAGATGGGAATCCTGATCTAATCCCTGCACCTCCCCTACATATTCTGTGTCAGAAAAAGAAGGAAGTGAATTTATCCAAGGCCTTCCATTTCAACCCCTCCCAGCACAGCTGATTCATTTTCAATCCATTTCTTTCCCAGCTCAGGGCTTTTATTTTCATTTCATCTTATTTTTTAAGTCCCTCTTGGCCTTGCATTCCACCACCGTTTGTTGAGCAGATCTATTCATCTTTCCTTCCCTGGCATGGGCAACTGAACTGTACACAAGCAGAACTGAGCAAGTTACATTTTTGAGACTATAACTGATGGAATAAGAACTCTTTCTTTATTAATATGAATTCATTTATGGCACATTAATTTCTGCTTATCGCCAGGTATTTGAAGCTTTGATGTTATAGGAACATTGAGTCCTTAGCTTACTAATCCTAAAAACACAGAGCATTCAACACATAGAATGAGAAAACACTGACATATCGACACATTGTGGAGCTTGCTTTTGTTGCCTTTTCTTCTTCTCCCCAATTGCTAGCTGATTCCTATTCATGCCTCTGGAGTGTTAAACAGTTTTATGCTGCTCTAAAACTTATCTGAATGCCTGGAGGCTCAATCAATCCCTAGGGGAGTTTTGCCTGGCTCTCTAGCTGCCAAAACAACCTTCAGAAATAGCCTAGAGAAACAGGAGATGGAAACCTGAATATTTAAGCAGGGATTGAAATAAGACCCTTCTCTGTTTAACAAGTTCTCGTATTTTACCTCTTTCCTTCCAGGAAGGTAGAGGGGAAAAGAGATGAAGGCATAAAATAATTTCCAGACTCACAAGAAGAGCTTTTGGTCATGCTAGGAGTGAATGCCACAACACGTGCCTCTGGCTTTACTGCTAGAAGTAAACACACTGTTTCAAAAATAACCACTTCTCTTACCGCCTGCTCTGTAAGACAGGGGTAAGATGATGGGTAAGATAACAAAGGCAGAACACGGCTTCTACTTTTCAAGGGTTTTAAATGGGGGCAGGGCGAGGAATGAGAAGACCTTTTTTACTTTTATTATTTATTTATTTATTTGATTTATACCCCGCCCATCTGGTCTAAAAGACATTCAGGTTGCTTCAAAATTGTTTTCATTAGCAGGCAAACAAAACCACAAAATCTAGTCCCAAGACTTCATGACCTCCATGACGATGATGGGTCTGTCCCAAATTGTACCTGCCTCCACCCATGTCATACCACACTTTAGACCTGGTCTTTTCTACTGGTGTAGATGTCGGTGACCTGGGTGTAGAGGAACTTTCTGTAATTCCATTGTCATGGAGAGACCATTATCTCGTACAATTTGGACTCACTGGAACTCAGAGTCTTTGCAGGGGTGGGAGTCAGACTAAGAAAATCCGATCCAGATGGTTGACGGAGCCAGATGGTTCTGAGGCTGTCCTTAGGGAGTTTCTTGTCATTTTGACAGGTGACTCTGTTGAATTGCTTGTTGATATCTTGAATGCGGAAATGGCAAAAGCTATCAACATGATTGCTCCTAAACATCTCCTCCCTCAAAGTAGAGCCAAACTGGCCCCCTGGTTCACCAGGGAACTGAAGGAGATGAAATGAGTGAGCCGTAGATTTGAGCAACGATGGAAGAAAACTCAGAGTGAACTTGATCAAAAAAGAGCTGGGCCACTGAAAGGCTTATTCTATGGCAGTGGTAACAGCAAAGAATCTATCTATCTGTCTGTCTGTCTGTCTGTCTGTCTGTCTGTCTGTCTGTCTGTCTGTCTGTCTGTCTGGCAGTGAGGCCAATCTGGGCGGCTAGCAACAACAAGTCAAACACAATATTAAAACACAATAAGAATAAAATAATACAAATATATAACAGATACTATAACTAGTAGGATAAATTAAAACAGATCGCTATAAAGATGGTAGAAAGGATGATGAAAGGATGGCAAAAAGGATGATAAAAGGGAAGCATAGATATCAGCAACTTAATGGTTCAGGAAAGCCTAATGGAGGAGCCAAGTTTTCAATGCTCGTTTAAACCCATTATTCTTCTCTGCCACTACTGCATCTGAACAGAATCACCCAGTGGAGCTTTTCAAATGGTTAGAGGCCTGCTACATGCTAGCCCCCCTTAAGTACAGTGGTGCCTCGCTTAGCAATGTTGATTTGTTCCGAAAAATCGCTGCTAAGCGATTTCATCGCTAAGCGAAACGCAGTTTCCCATTGAAATGCATTGAAAACTGGATAATCCGTTCCAATAGGAACGAATTGCCGTCCTTAAGCGCAAATCGCCATAGGAAACATCGCTAAGCGAAATGCGGTTCCCCAATTGAAATGCATTGAAACCTATTCAATGCATCTCAATGGGGGAAAAATACAACAACAAATTAAAAAAGAGTCAGAACAAAGTCAAATATGGTTAACAAAGAGTTTATTAAGTGCACTTTATGATTTTAAACATTTTAAACAGTAAACTTTAACTTTATAAATAACAGAAAAACATTTAAAAAACAGCAAACATGAGGCTGTTTAAACCATCGTTAAGTGAAACAGGGGACCCAAAATTTAATCGCTATGCGAAGCATGGTCCCAACCATCGCTAAGCGAAAATCGCTCATAGGGACCATCGCTAAACAAAGCGCAAAAACGCTCTGAAAAAGTCATCGCTAAGCGATTTCGTCGCTAAACGGAGCGCCTGTTAAGCGAGGCACCACTGTACTGGACAAGACCGGCAATCATTATGTTAGATTGCACAGGGAAGCCACTGAAATCCACAAACACCAGCAGAGTTTCAACAAAAAAGAAGTAAGTTTAAAACTCAACAAGGCCTGGCTCCCAGCACTGAAAAATATAGCCTGCAAAAGGTCAACGAACTCTACCCAGTCACAAGGACCAGTGATTGCTACAAACAAAAGACCAGCTAACGACACCCATCAATCACAGTGACAGATCATCTCTCCCCCTTATCACAACAATACATCCACAACAGAAACCCACTGCTCACCCAATCTCCTGGAAAGGACAAAAGCTGTTCCCACAGCTATAAATATTCAACTATCCAACCAACTACAACAGAGCACAGACAGCGTTCTGACTCCTGTCTTCTGAAGATGCCAGCCACATAGACTGGCAAAATGTTAGGAAGAACAACCTTCAGAACACGGCCAAAGAGCCCAAAAAACCCAAAGCAGTCAGCAGATTCATAAGTTGTTCGAGCTCTTCAGCAGAATGGACAACAACAGCTGCATCATTGGTGAAGAGGAAGTCCTGCAAGCATTTCAGTTGGACTTTCATCTTCACTCTAAGTCTAGAGAGATCAAAGAGCTTTCCATCTGATCTAGTCTGGAGATAGACACCTTCTGTTGCAGTTCCAAAAGCGTGCTTCAGCATGACAGCAAAAAAGATCTCAAACAGCGTTGGCGCGAGGACACAGCCTGTTTCACTCTGCTTCAGATGTCAAAGGGATCTGATGTTGAACCATCAAAAACTACAGTGCCTCTCATTTCCTCATGAAAGGACCTGATGATGTTAAGTAGTCGAGGTGGACATCCAGTCTCTAATTAATAAGCTTGAAAAAGCAAAAAAACAAAGCCTTTGTTGGTGTGAGTCAGGAATCTTACTGCAAAAGCTGCATGGTCCCACTTTTGAGTTGGCAAAACCATAAAATTAAGCTGCTTCATTTATAGCTCAGTGGTTTAGTTATCTGGTTGTGGAGCCAAAAGTTGGGAGTTTGATTCCACACTGACTCCTTGACAGGGACTGCATTCCAGCTTAGCAGTTCTAAGATTATTATAATAAATCCAGTTCTTTTTGGCCATCCAAGGAGTGACTACATATTTGCCTGTTTGGATGAAACAGCAAATGAAAAGAAGATGATAATGCTCATTGTCTTTCTCACGTGGAAGAAGTGAGATACAAGTAAGCATGTGGGTTCCTAATTCACAGTAACACTTTTGTAGTTGCAAAAAAAAAAAAAGAAAGAAAGAAAAAGAGCCCCTACTTTACCAACAGAAGCTATTTTCCCTTTTATATTTCATTCTGTGTTGCATTCAAATGGGCAAACAGCTATAAAACTGCCCGTGCATTTGCTGTAGGCTCTTGAAGATTATGTTTTTCATGCGATTGGTGAGGCAGAGAAAACAGATGAGTGCCTGTCTGAGCCGTTTAGAAATTTGCTTACATTCCCCCCCTTTCTTTGCTGAAGTCTTGTGCCCTGCTCTAGGGTATTCCACATTCATATGATTTTAAGGAACAAAAATGGGGATGCATTTAAAAATAGATGAAGGAGATTAAATACATACATACTCCAAAGTAATGCAGATCCATTGATCATATGAATCTTGTTGAGGCAACACATATGGAAAAGTGATTAATTCAATAGATTTTCCATAATTTGAACTAACAACTGGTTTTAGCCCATATTGCTGAAGGAACTTTGTAATCTTGTAAGTCTGTTTCTCCATCTGAATAACTGTTTCTTCACCTAAGTCCTTCAGTGAACATCCTCAGTAATCTCCCTGCTATTCAAATGTTAACAGGTAAGGGGAGATATCTTGTGTTCACATCCATATGAACTACCATGTTATTCACTGCCCTCCAAAATGTACATGCCTGCAAGGATAAATACATCCTTGAAGAACTGCCAAAATAATGTATCACTGGCTTTGTGATATATAAATAATCACCACCACCACCACCACATGTCATCAAGTCAGTTCTGACTTAAGGCAACTCTTTCCAGGATCTTCTAGCTACATAGTACTCTGAAGTGGTTTACCATTTCCTACTTCTGGGGGCATCCTGGAACTGTGCAGCCTACCCAAGGCTACACAGGTTGGCTCTTCTGAGATGCACAGTGCAGTGGTTCTTCTCCTGGGTAGCACAGTAGGGAATCGAACACCCAGCTTCTGGCTCCGCAGCCAGGTACTCAACTCACTAAGCTATCCAGAAGGTGATCAAGTTCATAGATTATATTTATCAAATTTAATCACCATCTGATGATCAAGTTGAATCAACAGGTTACTAAGCAGCCAGAGGAAGTAATTAAAAAACATTTGCTCAAGTCAAAGGCCCATTCTTCAGCAACAAGGAAACCAGTTCAGAACTACACACTCATTAAGACAGAATAATAAATCCAACATTTAAAAATGGAATAAAGTCAATTGAAGCTGAAGACAATGGTGTGATGACCCCTGAAAGTGGACCATCCCATCCCTCCTCAGGTTCAGCAGAATACCATACCTCAGGTTCCCCTGTGGACAAACTAACTATGATGCTGCACAAGTACCAGGGGAGGTAGAAGCCTGAGTGCCTTTGGAAGAACAAGAAGTGGAGGAACAGTCCCAGGATGGTAAAAAAGGAGGGAAACGAAAGAGAAGAACTAGAAAATGGAAAAGAGGAGGATCCGCGGGGAGTTTTGAGGTATAAAAGAGGGATTAAAAATAGTGGGGGAGAAGAAAATAAGACTGGAAGAGAGATTGGTCCAGACAGGGGAGGAGACACAGGAAGAGACATAAGATGACGCTTTGGAATATCAAGAAATTGAGTCTTATCCAATAGACCTTGAGGTACCTCAAGTCTCTCTCTCTCTCTGTGTGCGTGTGCGTGTTGTGTGCGTGTTGTGTGTGCGTGTGTGTGTGTGTGTTTGCGTGTGTGTGTGTTTGCTTGCACGCGCACATGTGTGTGTGCGTGTGTGTCCTGTGGATGGGATATTTTTCCAGTTATTGGTTACTCAAGAAGTTGCACGCACACATGTCCGTGTGCGTGTGCGTGTGTGTCCTGTGGATGGGGTATTTTTCCAGTTATTGGTTACTCAAGAAGAGGCAGAGAAATACCCCAACCTTCAGCCCCTCCACAAGCCCTCCCTTTGTATTTGGGGGAGAGAGAAAAGATGGAAATAAGGTGAAGAGCTCAAGCAGAAGCCTGTAAGGGAGAAGAAAGGGAAAGGATAAAACTCAGTCAAAGTCAGAACAAAAGAGAACTCAGCCACCAAGCAAAGACTACCCAAGAGGAGTGGGATCCCGAGAGGGGTGAGTCCGTGCAGCCTGTGGCTTTACAAACTATCACTGCTGCAACATTCTTTGTGTCAATCCCTGAAGGCAAACCCACCCTTAAGGTCTGGACCTATCTTTGTAACAGGTAGAGTGAGTGATGTAAAAAGGAGTCAAAAGGAAGAAGGACATGTTAGATTGACTAGAATTTATCTGGTTTGTGATGGAAGTAAGTTGTTAATGTTAATCCCCTTCATCCAAGTTTAATAAACTCTAGTTTAGCAAAAAGTTCACTTGTCTCTTCTATGGAGCCTAGAATGGAGGAAGGGATCTCTTCTGGTCTCAGGAGAACTGGAGGGGATCACATACCCCCAAAGCAAAGATGAAATAAGATTAGATAACTGAGTTCTTGCTTGATAGCAAGCTACATTATTGGGAGTTGCCAGACAGAGGAAGAACAACTGTAAGTGACATGTCAGAGATATATGAGTGATATGCCAGCCACCGGTAGCCACAAAAAGGGCTCATAATTTCCTAGTGGATTTCACCAGCTGCTGTAAGATAAAAATTGCTGCAAAAGTGTTTTCAAGCACCCCAAAAGTAAGGAAAAACAGCCCTTTTCGAATGGCATCTCAGCCTTGCTGTTGTGACAAAGAGGGCCCTTCTCCTGGAAGGCTGAGAGGGGCACATCCAAGGGCAAACATGGATGGGGAAAGCAGGACTCCAGTGCTTTCCACACAGTTCAGATACTATCACATGTGAAGTTTCTTGCTGCAAACAGCACAGCATGTAACAAATGCAAAAGCTGCCTCAAAGGCAGCATTGGGAGGGAGAACTTTTGAGCAGAGAAGTAATGAAGTGGTTCTGAACCTTTTTTCCACCCACAACCTCTCTGCCCCAGCTTCCTTCTCAACCATCTCTCTCATCTCTCACGAGGGCCCAGAGGTGTGTTTGTCTTCCTAATCATGCAGGGGAACAATGGGAACAATTTGGGGATTTAGTAGCAGAGAAAAAGTAACGCTATAAGATGTGACACACAGAATAATTTTCAGGCCTCTTTTCTTTCAGAGGAAGGGGAAAGAACATATGAGGTTAGGTAGCAGATACTAAACACCATGTTGAATATTTTGGATATACTGAACAAAGCCAGCACTATCATTATATGAATCAGAAGTTATTAGTGATTGAACACTCACAGAAAACACAAGGCAGAGGTGAATAATGTATAAAGGCTTATTTTTTACCACCTATGCTCAGATGTAAAATTCAAACAGACACTGAATTGCAAAATAGGAGCATCTATCTATCCATTCACCATTTCTGAACAACCCTTAGCTTACCTATTACATGGTCTCTGGCTGCTTGAAATGATCCAGGAGAGAAGATCCTCAGGCCGTAGAGGGTATAAATAGGGGGACTTCTGTTTTTAGATCCTGCATCTAGCAATAGAATAAGGCCACACAATACACAAAAATATACAGGCCTACTATATGTTATCAGCTGGTTGTGACCCTGAAAAAGAAGAAAGACAAAAAATATATATGTTCTTAATGCTGATGGGAAATGCCTTCTTTTGCATACGTAACTGTAAAGACTGCAGAAAAAATGCAAGGTAAAAGCTTATATATGTATTTTAGATATTATCAAACAGCAATATGTTATAATTCATTTCAATCATTAAGAAATCTAAATGTGTATGCCACATGGAAGGTTCTTCTTAACCATTATTTTCCTGTTACATAGTACTAATTACACTATCACAGTTACATTTTAGCCAGAGTAAAATACTGTATTCAGTCTTGATGTCCTTGCCACCACTATCACAAGTGAGTGACCAAAGTATTACATCACTATTTCCAGGCAGCTGAGAACCCAGAGGGCTTCTTGTTATGTCATCCTGCCCTGTAGGCATAGTTTTTTTCCTCACAAGGTCCAATGGAGTCAGAAGATCTTGACCACATGGGAGGAACACACTGGACAAGTCAATGAGTCTCAGTGGGACAAAACTACACTAGTTCCCACATTGCTAAAGGTAATGTTAGAAGGTGTGTGGAGTCTCTAATTAAAATTTCTGTAGATGTTGCAAAAGCAGGAGACGACAGAAGTTCCATAACTGGAGAATTCAGTATTTCAGTCTGTGCAGAAAAGAACTGTGCATAAAAATCAAGGAACAACTGAACAGAATGACCATAATTTCTCCATTCTATCCTAACCAGGTTTTAATAGTCAGAGCTATAAATGTGTGGAAAGCCAGAATTCTTATAACTATTTCATTTACCACCTGCTGCATGTCCTTGTATTAGTATCCAACTGTCTTGTACACTAAGTTACTATAATGTGGTTCTTGAATTACAGAATACATTACGGCACCCTGCCCACTTGTGGTACCACTCTGAATGATGCAAATACTCCTATTAACATGTATAAAATGTAAAAAAAGAGCTTGCAATATTCTGGTTTCTTTTAGCTGTTTTATGTGTCTTTCATTTCCACCTACCCATGAGAAAGGCTGATATGAACTACTTGAATAACATGAATGGTCATTAAAAAAAAACCACAACTCTCCCCAGACACAGATTTTGAAGAAGGGAAAGGAAGCAGAAGTGCGAAAAGATTAAGCTGTATGGAACCTCTTTCTTCCAAAAGTGGTAAGACATGCCCAGTATGTTCATATTTTCAGGAGACTGAATTCAAGATGCCTTCTTTCTTGTCCGTTACATTGAATTCCATAATTTAATTATAACTTAACATTGCATTCTTATTTTCAACTGCTTTTGAATTTATGTATGAGAATAAGTCTTGCGAAAGCCTTCAACTAGCATAATCCTTTCTCCTCTCTTCTTATTCCAGCATAGCTGCCAGGAGTTTGAAAGCTTCTCCTGCTTTGTATTTACTGCACTTTAAAACACTGCCAAAACTATACACTTTGATTATTCTTAACTAGGATTAATTTAAACATGCTAGCAACACAAATCATGGTCTGAAGCTGATTTGTTTCAAGTTGGCTTTTTCAATGATAGATAAAATTAATCTCAGTTTGACTAGGTACAAGCCTCATGGCAAGCTGAGGATAAAATGAAAGCAAAAGGCGTGCCAGAAGAGTTTGCCTGTGACCTGTGTTCCCTCTAAGCTGCATATGCAGCGCCACATTCATCTCCCGCAGCCATATTGATGTTGGTGCTGATCTGCTTCCAGTTGTGGGCAGAACCCCTCAAGAGTTCTGCACAGCACTATCGGAAATTAGAGGAAATGGTGCCTGTGATTATCCTTTTAATCATAAATCATAGTTTAACACTACATCTGAACAAGGACACTGTGTGAAGAAGCACTTTTTGCTGTTCACTCTGAACAATCAATTACATTGGTGATGTATACTGAAATATGGGGGGAAATCAACCTACTTTTTCCACACTGTACCTAAGTGAACCTTTATATATCTCAATAGCCATTTCCCTCTAGACTAGGTAAAAGGTTCCCCTTGACAAGTTTTTGTCCAGTCGTGTTCGACTCTAGGGGGCAGTGCTCATCCCCGTTTCCAAGCCATAGAGCCAGCGTTTTGTCCGAAGACAATATTCCGTTGTCACGTGGCCAGTGCGACTTAGACCCGGAACACTGTTTACCTTCCCACCGAAGTGGTCCCTATTTATCTACTCGCATTTGCATGCTTTCGAACTGCTAGGTTGGCGGGAGCTGGGACAAGCAACGGGCGCTCACTCCGTCGCGTGGACTCGATCTTACAACTGCTGGTCTTCTGACCCTGCAGCATAGGTTTCTGCGGTTTAGCCCGCAGCGCCACCACATCCCCTATCCCTCTAGACTAAGAGGCTCCAAACTTCTCTTTTCAGAGAAAATATGATGTGGGGAGCCTACACTTATAAAGGTCAGTAGTATGAAGTGTACAGCTTGAAAACACACACATCTGGACCAAGAACCAAAGACAGGAAGCTCCAATCATATCTTTATTATCTCAATCTATGGAAAAGAGATCTGATGAAGTTTCAGTAACTTCCACTCTACCATCAACCTCAGCCTAGACCATTCTATACAACAGGTCCCACTTCTCAATATCACTGCGCAATTACACATGGAGGAAATAAGTACTACTGCCTTACACCAAAAGCTGACGAACTGCTACTGGTATTTACATGCCTCCAATTTCCATCCAAAACAAAGCCAACTCTACAGCCAGATTTGCCAGTCTACCGTATCTTCTCAGACAGAGGCATTCAGTTTGAAGACCTGACCGAGGCATTTCTCACACTTAATTTTTTTTAAAAAAGTATTTATCTTTAAACTGCTATGAGACTTTCTTTTCCTTTTTTCAAAAACTATGTAATACTATTATATAAAATATAATATAATTTCAATGAAACATTCCCAAACTTGATCCCCATATTATGTGAAAAAAAATGATTTCATTAAAAATTATTAGGCCCTTTGTCTTTGCTACTAGTAGCAAATCAGGCAATGATGTTATTATAATGCAATTTTGATTAAACCAATTTCTTGTCATTTTAAAACAAATGTGCACATTATTAATGTCTGCCCGTGAAACTGATTTGATTACCGTTCATGTTGCCTGCATACAGCTGAACTGACAAACAGAACTTATATTTAGCACTGAGAAAATTACCTCTTTAGTGAGGTCTGAATATTTATTTCTTATGTATCACTGGAAACATCATATGCAATAATGACTAGAACTTTGAACTAATGGGCTTTTTAATGGCAATGCCTAGTTTGCATCTAAGCATGAAATGCTTTTCAGCTCTGATGAATCTTGTAATTCCACGTGCTTCACAATATTATTTCTTAGGGCAAAAAGCTGCAGTTAAATTCAAGATTAATATTAGTATCAACAATCATAAATTATAATAAACTTTAATATCAAAATGGGAACGTGGCTTGGTGATTTGGAGCCATCCAATATCTCTAGGTTTAAGTTTCTGCAATTTAGTTTCGAATTCTACTCTTGCTGATTGATGCCAAGGAGGGACAAATTCTTGGGGGGGGGGATGGCAAGGGGTTGTAAGCCAGCAGGGAAGCCTATGGTCTCCCAGCTTCAGCCCCCTGCATTCTTCGTTCAGTCTCTGTGGTCCTGCAAACAAACAAATACCCCCTGATCTCTCACTAGTGGCTATGCTGAATGGAATTGTAACCCAGTAGCAAGAGAGAGAATCCCAGCATCTTGACCTGTTCAGCAGCTTAAGGGCGATGATACTGGCCCACCCTGGCCATCTGGAGGTCAGCCTTTAAGAAAAGTTGCCGAAAGGACTGAATGAACCGATTCAGGACACCTGTTTTGTATGTTCTCTCATGGACCCTATTTAAGTAGCTGAAATATCATTGAATTAACAATTTCTCAAAAGGTGGGAAACTATGCTACAATGCAGGAATGGTTATGAAAGCGATATTGAAACTATTTCTAGAACAGGTGTTTAAAAGACTACGCTGGTGTAAAAGACCATCCTGGAGTAAGTGTTTTCAAGATTACACATCAAGTATTGTGCATCTGTTCACTCGTATACATTAAATGTTGCTTTATACATTGTACAATATACTTTGTACAATAATATATATTGCATATTAATCAACTATTGCCGACATTGGTACTGATTTTAAAAGGTTGATGACTAATCAGATAACCCACAGAACAAATACTGTGTACCACATTATTTATTTCCCTTATTTACTTCAGGGAAACCAAATAATACAGTTAATTTTGCATAGAATATGTAGCCCTGAGTCAAGTAAAACAGAACAAGTTAATACCTGGAACCAATTAAATTCCCACCATAATGTTATCAAATTACAAATCAACTTCTGTTGTTTATATATATAATTTCCAAAATTAACGGTCAAACCTTATTGGTTATTTACACCAGCATAAATTAAGGATGTAAAATGCAGCAGTGAATTGCTTTTATGCCTCCTCATAGAAAACCCATGAGTGCAAAGCATATTACCCAAAAGTACTAAGAAAAAGTTGATCAAGTAAAATTTCACCACAATTTTTTCCACAAATTCAGCTAACAATGGGGAAAAATTGATAAAATCCAGATGTATAATGTTATAACAGCCTGGATAACCTGGATCCAGGAAGACTGAAGTGAATTTAACTGAAAGTTTCCCATCGCTCTTCTAAGAAGCTCCCTAGGGTTCTCTTTTGCCTTGTGGAGGCCTTTGGGAGCCTCAGGATAGTGGGGCTCCCAAATTTTGTCTTTAACAGTAAAAAAATCATCACTCAATTGCTGCCACGAGACCAAATCCAAACTTTGTCATACTTACTGTAGATCCACTGCAATCAGTTGGACTTACTACTTACTGATCATGGCATGGGGCATACAGCCAGTGCCATTAACAGCATGCCAATTCCATCAGTAGCCTGGCTGGCGCTGCCCTGCCTCCCTGCTAGGCTGGCCATTCAGCAGCTCAGCAGGGAGGCTCACCATCCTGCCTCCCTTGCTGGCATAGCCGGCCAAGCAGGGTGCTAGAGCAGCACCGCTGGGCTACTGTTGCCATCCGCACGCTGTTAATGACTCCAGCTACGCGCGCTGCACCCTGAGCAATAAGTGGACCAGCAAGTTCTAGGGGTGGCCATTAATTGGGCCAGCCACCTGTAACGGCGAGATTCATTTTTGTCTCCCTCAGGAGACAAATGCAAGTCTCCCATGTCTAGTTGGACTTTTTGCTATGGCAGATGTAAGTACCATAGATTTCAGTGGCTGCTATTAAAACTATGCACTACTGATTCTATAATTACTCTTCTCCCATTTGCAGTTTGTTGAGGTGCTTGCAGAAAAAATAAAGTCCAATATATTACAGTAACAAGCAGAAGGCTTGTGTTGTACAGAAATAGCACTGTGTAGCAACCCTTTGCAACAGCAATTAAAAACATTTTGATGAAGTTTTAAGAGGAAAAAATGTGTTACAATTCCAAAATGACTGCCTATTTCAACTATTTTGAAAAGTCTAATAAACCAGCTAGCAGAACAGATATGTCAACAGCAGAAGTGTTTATCAGTATGCTGGGACTTACATGTACAGGTGATGCAGGATCCGGCTGAACACTCTGAGGACAGAAAGAGATTAATCATATTAGTTATCTGAATTGCATCACTACACAAATGATAATACAGGGAATGGACTGGGAAATATGTGAAGTTTTCTCCTTTTTTACCTTTAAAAGAGAGTATTGACAGCTTGCCATGATAAGACAGAACAGGAAGACCCAGATGTCTTTACAAAAACCTTGGTTCATAATTATAAAGCCAAGAAAAGAAACAAGGATTACTAATAGAATTGCCAAAACATTCTCCTTGAGATCTTCTGTCCTGTAGGAATAAAAGACCAATATATGCATAAAATTACACACTAGTGGTTTGAAGATACACACCATACACTGAAACCCCTAAAGTCTCTCTAGTCCATTTCCCAAAAATCTGAACTGCCAGCTGTGTCCTGAGGATCAAATAAATGAAGTATAAAAGTATATTATTGACCACAAAAAATGCTTACCTATCTAGTAGTGCCAGCAAGGTAAGTCGATCATACCAGATTTTTATCCATTTACCGGGAAATACAATAAATTTGTAAAATTGTTTATTAATTTTTCTTTGCACTGATGAACATGAAGAATCTTCAAGATCTTCACTAAAATGCTTTAAAATAAAAACAAAAGTAAACAGAAGTTTATATTGTTTCCATAATATTGGCAGATCAATTCTATGTATTTCATTGTGCCTGTATAAACATGATCAAAGCTACCTTGTGAATTTTGCACATTTTTTGGAGTGTCCCCCCCTCATTTTAGTAATAAGGTTATGCCATAGCCTAAAATATACAGAAAAAAAACATTAATTTAGTCCACTTCACCCAAGATTCATCTTTGACCTTTATGTGTCCCTTGTTATCTCAATCGTGAAATTCAGCCACACCAAAATAAGACCTGGAATAAATTCTTTTGACCTTTTGTTTGTCTAACAAACAAATTACTATTCCAGCTTTGTTCTGCTCTTTTGAAAGCAATGGGGAACAAAAACAAATTGAGACAACAAAAATGGATGAACTTGCTATGAAATCAAATGAACAGCAGAGAAATGAAGTACAAAACAAAATGAAATGTTTACTCGTACAAACAAATGTCATACCTAAAGAAAAACCTTCCAGCACAGCCTTACTGTAATTTAACTGTGCACCTTCTTAGTTAGTTCTCTAAGTTAGGATGCAGCTGGAGGCTGACAGAATTACTGACAGATGCATAATACATCTCAGAAAGCACCAGAGACATAAGTTTGTACAGATACAGATGAACGTTACTCTGTGCATATCTTCACAGCAATTATCCCAAAAACTATCCTACAGAAGTCATGGTTTTATCAGTTCTGACAGCTCACAAACCTTGGATCAGAAAACTACAAAAAAACCTTCCCCAGTACTTTAACAATAATACCATACTCAAAGGTGGACAGTCCTTATACCTTTTAAGATAGAACAGTTCTTCATCAGAAGATAAACTAAAGGAATAATGAACAATAAATGAATATATGAATAAAATGAATACATAATCAGCCTGATCCTGACAATCAACAAAAGTGGGAGGCGGGGTTTGAAAGGCTCATTAATAAGGAGAACCTGTCTGATTAGGAGGACATATGGAGGATCCCTTCCATTTGGGCATACAAGAATTACCCAACTATCCCTACCTAATTAATTACATACAACAGTGTTTATAGCAGGGGTCTCAAACATGCGGCCCGGGGGCCATTTGTGGCTGCCGGACTATCATTTGTGGCCCCCGCCTTGCCTGTCCCCCCAAAGCGCCCACGCGTCTTCTGCTATAAAGAGTAAAAAAAAAAAAGCCTCACCTCGCTTGCCAGCTCTCCCCCAAGTCAGCGACTCTTGCACCCTCCATCCAGAACTGCAGCCTGCCAGCCAGCAGACAGGTGTTCCGGATGGAGGGTGCAAGAGGCGCTGTCTTGGGGGAGAGCTGGCGACCAAGGCGAGGCTTTTTTTTTGACTCTTGACAGCAGAGGACACGTGGGCACTTGGGGGGGCAGGCAAGGCGGGGGCCACAAACTATCACCCAGCAGGCCGCAAATGGCCCCCAGGCCGCATGTTTGAGACCCCTGGGCTAAACATTTCTAAAAATTATGCTGGTCATATTCAGTAATACAAAAATGGCCTCCATGTGACCATCCCGGTCTTATATATTGGCTCTTAATATTTGAAGCTCATCCTGCTTCAGCCGCCTCGGCTCTGGAGGCTGCCTGGGCTCGCCTCACGAAGTTTGCGCATTTGTCGTGGTTGGGGGTAGCTGCTGCTGCTGAGTGCACCTTTTTTTGAGGGGGGGCCCTCAGAGGAAGGTTGCCGGACCTCCGTGTGTGTGTGTTTTGTGTGCCTGCATGCGCGTGTGCAGCTGTGGGGTCCCTGCCCCATTCTGTTTAATTTCGCAGGTACCAGTGGGGGCTTTTCTCCCTTGGCAAGGAGAATTCTGTGATGGTTTTTTTTAAACTTTATGTCATGCCCTCCTGTCACCGGCACTCCCTCCCTTCTCTGCTTCTTCGTCCTGCTGCTGGTGGTGGTGGTAGTGAAGAAGGAGCTGAAGGAGGTTGTGGTCGGCAACAAGGGCTCGCACCCTTCTCCTCCTCCTCCTCCTCCTCAGAGCCCCAGCCGGGCTAAGGAAACTCTGGGCAGCTTCCTCAAGCTCTTGATCTGCTTTGCGGAAAATCTGATGCGGCCCAGACTCTGCCTCCAGTGGCCCCCAGGTAAATTGAGTTTGAGACCCCTGGTTTATAGGATCATTAAGTCAGACATCCTATACCCCAGCAGTAATTGGTAAAGAAACAGAACGGACAGGTTAAAAAAATCTCCCTCCTTCAAACATATTTGCACTAAATGAGTTTAGCACAGAGATATGACACAGTACCCGTTGGGTTTCAGAAAGGGTCCTTCGTGCCACCATCAGTAAGAGCTGCTGCTGCAATGCACTTGGCCCATGATCTCCAGAAGATGCTTCTTGACTCTCTGAGGTAGTTGTACTAGAGGAGCTGAAATGAGCTTCACTGAATACAGGAGAAAAGGGGGTAATATTAACTGAACAACGTCTCAGTATGGTAATGAAAACAACTACATGGCTTGAGGGACTGATTATCTCAACTGGAGTTTCCCAAATGATGGGATTTAAGCCTCTCTTACTGTAAGCAGGATAAATGATTTTCAGTCCCATCTAAAATTAGCCACCAAAGAACTATTTGATAAAGTTCCTACATTACAGCTGGAAAACTAAGTCGAAGGTACTTATTTCTGGGCCACTGAGTAATACAAAGAATAATTCCATAATTCAGTCAGTAGCTTGAAGGTGCATTTTGGCAGAACAATGAATCACATAAGACTAGCAAGGCAACTAAGATTCAGAGGGGACTACAGCAAAACAAATATTAATCAATCAAGAAGAAAAATGCCACTTTGAAGAATCTCCCCATCTTGCTGACAAAATGAGTATACACATTGTACCCACGTTACTTATCATTCACACCAGTTTTACCTTGCACTAAAACGAAAAATAGAACTTGGTAGACACTACAGTGGACCCTCGACTTAGGGAATTAATCCATATTGGAATGGTGGCTGCAGGTCGAAAAGTCTGTAGGTCGAGGCTCCATTGACCTACAATGCATTGAAAACTGATTAATCTGTAACCGGCCGTTTTTGTTCCATTTTGGTTTTTTTCTGGTCTGTAGGTCGATTCTCTGGCTGCAAGTCGAACCAGAGAAGAAACCTGCGGCCAGAGAAGTCTGTAACTCGAAAAGTCTGTAAATCAAGCCGTCTGTAAGTCAAGGGTCCACTGTACCTTTTTAATGCAATGTCACTCAAATCTTCTTCAATATGAGTGCTTAATCACAAGCTTAATCATACTTCAAAAACACAACACCAACAGTAAACATAGTTCAAAAATACATTACAAACATCGAACCTTGGAAACAAAACTTGGGAGAATGACTACATGGGCTTCTGTACCACTGTTTGGTGTGCTGTGGGGATGGATGGTGTGACGTGTGCCATGACGTCACCTGCCTGTCTTGGCTAAGGCTGGAGTTTCCTGGCCTATGGCAAGGCAGGAGGTGGGTCTTATAGGGGTGGAGCTTGTGTATATAAGGGGGGTGTACAAGGAGGGAGAAGTTGGGTTGTTGGGGAATTAGTGAGAGAGTGAGAGGGTTAGATATAGGTTAGGTAACTGTGTGTTAAGTAACCAAGAACTGTGCAGGGTTAAGGTCTGAGAAATATAGAGTGATAAGTGATTCTTTTATTCAGTGATTACCTTTTTATTTCTGTATACAATAAAACATCATTTTTATTTTTAAATCCATACATAGTCTGAAGTGTCAGGTTTATGTGTGGTTGGTGGCAGCGAAGTACTGTGTGTGTGTGAGAAAGATCGTGGCCTGTCATCTCTTGTGGTGACGTAGGAGGAGGTGGCAGTCGCGACAAAACTGGTGGCAGCGGTGGGATACGAGTTGTCCAGTTGCCCAGTTGCCCAGAAAAGCCTTGGCTAGTGTGACCAGAGCAAAAGGATTTCAGTGAGGTGCACCTGACCTGAAGTGGGGTGTGGGTAACTCTCTAGGATTTGTCTCCAGGGGGGAGCAGATCTAGTAGAGAGGCACCTAAACTTCAGAGTGAGGGAACTGACTTATGAGCTCTAGAAGGTCCATTTTGTGAGGTTCACTCAAATGTTCTTCACTATGAGTGCTAGAATATTCATAATACTTCAAATCATACTTCAAAAACACAACACCAACAGGTCACTCAAATCTTCTTCAATATGAGTGCTTAATCACAAGCTTAATCATACTTCAAAAACACAACACCAACAGTAAACATAGTTCAAAAATACATTACAAACATCGAACCTTGGAAACAAAACTTGGGGGAATGACTACATGGGCTTCTGTCCCACCGTTCGGTGTGCTGTGGGGATGGATGGGTTCTTACCTTTTGCCACTGTCCAGGATTACCTTTTTATTTCTGTATACAATAAAACATCATTTTTATTTTTAAATCCATACATAGTCTGAAGTGTCAGGTTTATGTGTGGTTGGTGGCAGCGAAGTACTGTGTGTGTGTGAGAAGGATCATGGCCTGTCATCTCTTGTGGTGACGTAGGAGGAGGTGGCAGTCGCGACAGATGGGTTCTTACCTTTTGCCACTGTCCAGACAATACAAGTGTCAGTACGAACCAGCCTGTCCCCAGCATGTTCCAAGCCTTATCTTTCTAGGTCCCTGTCAGGGGCTACTGTTTTTTTAGGTAGGATCGTTCTGTTTTGGTTAATTTCCAATACATACAGTCTCTGGGATTGGACCAAAGTGGAGCTACCTGCTTTGAATTTCCCACCCAGTTTTAATTTCCCAATATCATTAAGTGGCTTAGGAAGACAGCTTAGCCATGTCACAATAGCGGGTAATTAAAAAATTCCTCTGCTCCTTCTACCTCAAAGGTGGGCAGTTCCTATACTTTTCAAGATAAAACATTTCTTCATCAGGAAATAACCTAAAGAAATAATTAATAATAAATGTAGATAGGTATAAAATTAATACATAATCAGCCTGATCCTGACAATTAATAAAATGGTGTGTGCTGTTGTGCTTTATCTTTTGGGGGGAAATAACAAAAATTGGAAAGCTTCCTTCCAGAAGGAAGAGGAGGAGAGAGGAGAGGACAAGGAAGGAAATGTTTTGTGTTTGTTTTATTTTTAAGGAAAATAGGCCAATAGGATCACTTGAGGTGCACACACTGTGTGGATGTAAAGCATACCACATCCCTACGAACACTTAAGTGACCCTGTTCATGTAGTTAAAGTACAAACAGTGGGTGGGCTAGCATGAAACCTTCATTGTATGGGCTGCACAGGCTTTCAGAATAACTGACTGAGGCTCAGTTCTACATCACTTCTCATTTAAGCTATAAAATTAAGTATGAACGTGCAATACTCAGAACTCAATTTAAAACTTCTGTCTGATTTTTTTCAGTAAAAATGTGGTTATATCTAAATTATCTGTTGGTGCAATTTTGGGGCAAGACCATGATCCCTCTTGAAAGAGATCAAGTCATACTTTCAAATGACTGAGCTTCTTCAAGACTGCATTCCGAATACTGTTTTCATTTCTACTTAATGTTCTCTTTACAATAATTCACAATGAACGTTTCCTTTGTTTTTAAAATAGTTAGGAAGATTATGAAGTTTAGAAAAATACTTAGTGTCCTATTGCCTTCAGACCTTCAGTTTTCCAGGGAAAAAATGCTATTGACCTTCTAAAATCATGTACCTACCCTTAAATCATTGCAGAATCTCTTGCTTGGTTAAAGACATCTGCTGCCACCATGTGGCAAAGCTCTTATCCTATTCCTATCTCTCGTTCTATTGAATTGTATTACATGGTCTCAATTTCCAATTCTCTGCTGCACTAACAAAAGCCAATAATACCTAATCACAATGCATGTGTTCTCTGATGAATATCACACATGATATACACTATTGCATTTGACTTCAGAGTAAATTATAATTCCAAGCATCTTTATCTTGGTATTACTGTATAAAATAAATATAATAAATTTAAAAACCCAAAATGTCTTTTGCTTCTGCTGTCTTTACCAATTACTTTTAAATACTGGCTAGAATCCTATGTTAGGTTTGCATAACCTACCACAGTGAACTGATGAGGTGCCAGGGCACATGTCCATTGTGCATTTGACTAGCGTATGACTAAGACCTACTCTGACACATCAATTAAGTGCAACCAACTGTAGCAAGTTAGGCAAAACATAAGCAACTGCTTATAGGATTTGGGCAACTTTTTGAAGTCATTCTTCCCATATTACACTAAAGCATACACTTGATTGGATTTTTTGTCATAGGTCCTAAGGAGAACAGACTGATCAGCCATGAATGAGAAAAACTGCTGCATTTCCCATGTACTTCTCATTTTAAAGGTATATTGTGCCTTTCTTTTCCACTGCTATACCACACTTGCTTTAGCTTCCCCACTTAATTTGCTGCCATGCCAGCAAAAAATGTGCTAAAAAGAAGAAGAGGAGGAGGAGAAAGAAGGGATATAAACCCTCATTTTAACAACTTCTCTGTTTATCAGCTATACGAAGTCCTAACATTAGCAGATGACAACGAACCTTTCCATGCCATCAATATCTTTGATAACTTTTACAAATCAGGCTACTGCTAAAGGAATGCAAGAAGGCCTCTCTGGTCATTCGCATCCCTAGTGAAATAAGGGGCCTAATTCATTTCTTCAGTAACAAGAAATGTCTTAAGTATACACTATGAGCACGGAGCGTTTCCTCAAATTAAAAAGAACAGAATAGCCCTTGTGTGCTCCTGGAGTTGCATGTTCGGTTACTTGTAGCTTCCTATCAGACACACCATAGAAATAAAACCCAACTGTGAACTATAGGAAGTACAGCAGTGCTGTAATATACTGAGAGCAGGCCCCTGTGAAGTCAGCAGAACTTATATGCAATAAAATGTGCACAGAACAGCAATGTAAAAAAAAATAAATCAAAAATTACCATGCCAATAGGAAGCACATAGGTGTTAATTAATAATTAGATCTTCTAAATCCCACAGATCCTGAGGAGCAGCATGATTTTGTATTGTGAAGAGTTGAAAACCTTGTAGCAGAACAATAGAAGCCTGTCAAATGCCACCACCCACCTTGCCTCAGTAATAAGTATCAGCGCCTTACTGAGAAGCTGAAGGGTGTCCCTGTCTCTTAAAATCACCTTGGTGATGTGAGAAGAGGAGGGGGGGAAATCTACTTTGCGTGAAATTGTTTTAAAAGAACACCTGCTCCTATTTCAGCAAACAAACAAAAACAAACAAATAAAAACCCATAACAGAATATGGAGTACATTTGCAAAGACTTTGGAGAATCTTATGATGCTGAAAACTGTCAGATACAAATGCAATCACCTAGTAGATCCTTGGCACTGGTAAAGTATTCAGATGTCTTTGTACATAGTACAAAACACACTGCAGCTAGTTATTAACGGAAA